TTGTCCTGCAGGCCTGAATGATTTATTAAAGTGAGGAGGGCAGCCAGGCGAGCGCTGATTAACCAGGGGAGCCAGGGAGGACAAGCACTCCTCTATTATTCATCGCTCCACAGCAGCAGCAGCAGCGAGCGAGAGAGTGGCGGCTACGGAAAACAGAAAGACAGAAACACGAGTGGAGTCGACGTTTTTACAGGATCCGCTCTGTGGTTTGTTTCCCGAGTCTCTGTCGGACTGACCCGTTTGTGTCTGAGGCTTTTTCCTGCACGACGATCACATTCCTAACAAACAGAACCAGAAAAGTCCAGTTCGGACCGGTGGACCCAGCTGTTTGGTGACACCTAAAGCTCCACAAACACACTTTTCTGTTTGTCATCATAAGGAAACATGGCTTTTACTGAGATGACATCATCATAACCAGGGGCGGATTTAGGACTGAAGAAGATCCGGGGCTTCAGCCCAAGTAGCCGGGCCTAACGCCGCCCCTGATCATAACTGTTACGGCCCGCTGGTGCGACAGAACCGACCTGCTCATAAAAACCACCGAGAAGAAGTTCTGTTCGGTTCTTCATGCAGGAGCTTCACACGGACCCGTGGGTCCGACGGTTTTCATGTTAAAGCAGGGACCCAGTCAGGGTTCGGTTATGAGAGTGTTTAAGATGTTATTCATATTTTAGGAACTTTTCAGTGTTTTTATTCAGGTCCAAATGATTTGACCCTTTTCTGATTCCCTAAGAGTCAAACCAGCACTGATATTCCAGATGTTTTTGGATGCGACGGTTAATTTATTCTCCTTTGTGCTCCTGGCTGAACCCGTCGTGTCCTCAGAAATAACTAAAGCGTGCACGAGGTTGGCACTGAATCCAGAACTTCTACCAGAACATCGGTGTCGCACAAACATGTCTTAACTGCCAAGAAAGGTCCTAGATTACTGGGATTCACTCCAGCGCTACCTTTATACGATCCAGGGCAACACGTCCATTGTAACGCATCACCGGAGTAAAAAAGGATAAACCAAAATGTCAACGCTGCTGCCGGTGACTTATTAGGGTCACTATAGTAACTGCACACGTTGCCAAGGTTACCAAACTGACAGCTCTGCACTCAGGATTTCCAAACAAGGACAAAACTAACTCCAAACTGAAAATCAAACAACTCCTCAGACGTAATCGGAAACAGAAGGGAACGTTCAGTCTGTTGCTCTACATTTGTGAGTTTAGTGACCAAGTACGGTTAACTGAGGGTGTTTCTGTATGAAAACGACTGAACGGACACGAGCACCTGGGTCCACTCATGTGGGGTTTAGCAGTGCAGAGGAACAAGCGTAAGAGCGGCCACCACGCTTTAGAAATCTGGATTTCTGACTTTCCACGAACGTTCTAAAGTTCAGTTGTAGGATGGAATACAGGCCGGTTTCTACCAACGTTTGATAAATCAGGGCCCACATGACCCACGTGAACTCTGAATGACGTTTCTGCTTTGAGGTCTACCTGAGCTTTAGCTCTCCAGAGGGGGCGGGGCTTCCTCACCTAAGGAAAAGCACACCTTGAATCCGACTCAGTCCTTGGACCAAAGGAGTCAGGCAGCGAGAGTCTGACTCAGTCGTAAAAAAACAGCTTGTAGTTCCCCTCTCATTACTCACCTGTGCTGTTCTGACTTTAAACAGCACAGTGGAGTTTATTCACCATTTTCCAGGAATCCTAAATAAAACGTCGTCTTCCTCCGCTTATCCGGGTCCGGGTCGCGGGGGCAGCATCCCAACTAGGGAGCTCCAGACCGTCCTCTCCCCGGCCACCTCCACCAGCTCCTCCGGCAGGACCCCAAGGCGTTCCCGGACCAGATTGGAGATGTAACCTCTCCAACGTGTCCTGGGTCGACCCGGGGGCCTCCTGCCGGCAGGACATGCCCGAAACACCTCCCCAGGGAGGCGTCCAGGAGGCATCCTGACCAGATGCCCAAACCACCTCAACTGGCTCCTTTCGATCCGGAGGAGCAGCGGTTCTACTCCGAGTCCCTCCCGAACGACCGAGCTCCTCACCCTATCTCTAAGGCTGAGCCCGGCCACCCTACGGAGGAAACTCATTTCGGCCGCTTGTATCCGCGATCTCGTTCTTTCGGTCATTACCCAAAGCTCATGACCATAGGTGAGGATTGGGACGTAGATCGACCGGTAAATCGAGAGCCTGGCTTTCTGGCTCAGCTCCCTCTTCACCACGACAGATCGGCTCAGCGTCCGCATCACTGCAGACGCCGAACCGATCCGCCTGTCGATCTCCCGATCCCTCCTACCCTCACTCGTGAACAAGACCCCGAGATACTTAAACTCCTCCACTTGAGGTAGGACCTCTCCCCCGACCCGGAGTTGGCAAGCCACCCTTTTCCGGTCGAGAACTATGGTCTCATATTTGGAAATGCTGATCCCAAATAAACCATTACGGGAATTCTTAACACCTTCTCGACAGTTTTTCTTCTGGTTAAAGGAAAAGTGCCTCCCCGTCTCATGAAACAGTGAGCTGCTGCAGAGCAAACGTCATCAAAATGACTCTGAAGGTGCAGCGTTGCCGTTAGCTCACGCTGGTGCAGAAGTGCTGCTGACTGATTCCTAAATCAGAGCGGGGTGTGAGTAGTCTCCGGTGCAGAAGAACAGAGGGAAAAAGGGCAGAGGAGTGTTAAAAGGGTGGAGGGACGCAAACCAAACCAGAAAACGTATTCATGATGACACACTGCCTCCTGCTGCCCAGACAGATCAGATGATTCAAACCCAAAACAGCAAACTTGCATTTATTTATTGAATATTCAGACTTTTACTCACCATCTTCCACGTGGAATGAGTTCAACTGTAAGCGTTACCGATAAAAACAGAACTAATCGAATGACATAAGGAACAGCGTGCACAAGCACTCCCGTTTATTTTATTTTACAAACATTCAGAAAAAGCAGTTTTGTTGAGATAAAACGCCAAAGCGCAGACCTTTCCCACATCTTTACAGACAACCGAACAAAGACAGACGCGTTTCTGTGTAAAACCTTACTGGAGTCCGTGGCCTTCAGGACTGATGAGCTAACGGCTAGTCTGAGTGAAAACCCAAGGTGATGCTGGATTCAACCCTCCAGCTGAATGGAGGTCTGTTGATTACTTAATAAAACGGCTGATGCTTCGTGTTTGAAATCACTTTTCTATCTAAAATTTCACAGAGAAAAACTATTTTCATGAAAATGGTGACGAAACGTTGCCACCGATGAATGATATTCCAGTCCACAAGTCCGATTTTCCTTCTTCGTCTTCAAAAGACAGACGACAAATCGTGCCGTTGGTCATGGCCGGCGTGTCTGCACCTCCATCGACGCCGCGTTAAAATGGTCGTCATGGTTACCCAACACCACTGCATCAAGTACCTGGGCGAGTGTGCTGATCGAGCTTAGGAGAAGGTGGCAACACATCAGTCCTGAAGGACATGAACTCCATTTCTCTAAACTGAGGCTGTTCGGGGGGCTTCTGAACAGAAGTACGACTCAAAACGGCTTTATTAGCCTAAAAAGCGAATCTAAATCCACTTAAATACAAGTGAATTATTGCAGGGAAACGCTGGGCGAAGCCTCCTGTGGCCAGGGTTTTAGTCCCGCGTGAATGTGTTCGTGAAATCTAACGAGTTCAACAGCTCTTCTCTCTGATGTTCCAGCAGTAAAGAGACGTTTGCCAACATCCACGCCGGCCTCGCTGATGAGCGGACGGAACACCAACAAGTCTGTAACCAGGAGGTGGGCCAGAAGGGCGACTGAAGCTCAGCTGAGCGGAATGGCGGCCAAGACGACCCGGCAGAGTCACCACGGAGACGGCAAACGTGAACGTTTAACCTCGAAGCTTCTCCTTCAGCTCTCCTCAGCGCGCCCAGAGTCGTCAACGTGTCACAAAGCGGTGACGAGGTAACCGTCCTCCTCTGATCATCGAGGGAACTCTCAGCAGAGAGACTTTGGGCGAACCTTCGGGAAAAGCTGAAAGCAAAAAGACATGAAAGGTTCAAATGAAGCCACCTTCTTTTGTATGCAAATAAAACGATCAGATTTAAGCTTGTCGAATATTTTTACCCCAAAGTAGTTGTTTGGGACAAATCCCTCTTTGCCACGAAGCGAGGCGTACCACCAGTCAGATCCCTCGGGTTTCTGCAGGATGGTGACCATGTCTCCATCTTTGAAGGTAAGCTCGTCGGACGCCTGGGCCTGGTGGCTCCACAGAGCGTACAACACCCCGTTGTTCTCCACGCCCATGGCTGCCTCCGCACCTGCAGGTGCAGAGCAACACAGAAGACGTCGCACCCTCAAAACAGAAAATATTCTCTTTAAAGTGCGTTTTTGACAAAAATCAAATGTTTATCTTTAAATTACATTAATGTCACTAATTGATCAAATAATAAAATAACTTCAAATTTAATTCAGAATTAAAGTATTTTTTTATCTTTACTTAAATAAATTTGAACGAAAATAAATTCTAATAAAATATTCGGACTCAGGACCGATCTGCTGTTTAAACGCTTCGCGCTACAACGTCTCATCCTCTTTATGCTGGATATGGGGAGTCCACAAACCAGTTTTTTGTAGGATCAGCTCTGTTAAAGTTTAAGGACATTATATATCTTAAAACTTTAGAGATGATGTATAGAGTGGTGAAAAAGAATGTTCCAATTTGTACTTTAAGTATGTTTAAATTAAGAGATGGAAAACATGATTTGAGGGGGTCTGTCATGTTTGAAATACCTAAAGTGAGAACTAATGCCAAGTATAGATGTGTCGGTTTTGGGAGTGAAGTTATAGAACGGACTTAATGATGAACTGAAGATGTGTTATTCTTTGTCATTTTTCAAGAAAAATTTAAAAATTTGCATCTTCCTGTCACGAACTCCTCCAGCTAACTCCACTTCCCAGCATTCCCGCCACGTGGCGGCTGACGTCATCACGCCGACACTATATACGGAAGGACCGGCGTTCATTCATTACTCGTCATCGTTCCTAACAGACTTTGAATCGAGTTCTCAGGCTTACCAGCCCTCAAACCTGACCAAAAGGATCTACCGCGCTGTCTACCTCCACCACTCCGCGTCTGGGCAACAGACCATCTCCGCTACGCTTCCGCTCTGCCCCAAGACCTGACACTTCCAAAGTTATAGAAGCTTAGTTTGATGTCTAACCTTGTGTTGATTTCTTGATTTATCATTGCTTTTTGCATCTTATCTATCAGCCCTATTTTTTTATTTATTTATTTTTTCTCTTGGTTAAGGACTTGATTATCTCTGTGGGAGTTAAGGACAGGCTAATTATAAGCCACTAGGCTTCAACCTATTCCTTTTTTCAGTTGCTTGATTACTTTAATGTAAAATTGATAAATTGTTGTTGTTGACCGAATAAAAATATCTATCTATCTATCTATCTATCTATCTATCTATCTATCTATATCTATATCTATATCTATATCTATCTATCCATCTACCTATCTATGTTTATGTTTATTTATTTGGCAGACGCTTTTATCCTAAGCGACGTACAACGTTTAACTTGTAGGCTATGTTGTGATCTGTAGGGGAACCCGCAGGAAACCCACGCTTGCTCGGGGAGAACACGCAACTCCACGCAGAAAAGGCACAGCCGAGTTTCGAACCTGCAACCTTCTTGCTGCGAGGCAACAGCGCTAACCACTGCGCCACCATGCAGCAACGTTCCAACATAGTAGAGCCATAAATATTTTGTGGAGATAAAAAAATAAATAAAGTGGTTCTCTCACGTTTGTCTAAGAGCCTCGTCCAACAACACGTTTTGGACCAAAACCAACTACTGGACCATCCGGTCGTCGGCCTCACCAAACCTGGGTCCTCCGCTCATCACACTCACGTGTTCAGCAGCAGAACACCTCAGGTGTGACAGGTTCTCCGCTCAAAAACACCAGAGAAGGAGAAACAGCCGGCTGCTACCACTTCAGCTTCAGAGTCCCAAAAAGAAAATCACCGTTTAAAGTCACAGACAACAACAGACGCTTGGACCTAGAGAACGGCGACTGGTGTTCAGCGCTATCTCGTCTCCTCCGGCATCGTAGGTGTTTGGATCCAGCGTCTCAGGGAAGACGCCCGAGAGGACGGGTGGGTGTTCCGTGACCGTGTTTGCGTTCTAAACGTAGCTCGTTCTGTAGATTCGCTGTTCTGGCTTTAAAACTTTTCCTCCCATATTTGCTTTCAGGAACTTTTTTTGTTCAGTTAACTGTTTTAAAATGGGAAGTTCTCTTTCCATCCTTGCTTTTCAAAGCCTGGGGCTCAGAATCATAAAGAATTTCCTTCATCTGTTAATCTTTTGCCCCTGAAATCGAACGTTTCGTGCAAAAAAAAAAACAGCCAAGAAATTCAGCAAGTTTCACTTATTTTCACCAGTTTAGTTTTTATATCACAAAAAGAACAGGTGTGTGTGTGTGTGTGTGTGTGTGTGTGTGTGTGTGTGTGTGTGTGTGTGTCTCACCCTGCAGGTAAGCCTCGCATTCAGCAAAGTTATCGAGAAACGGGTCACACTTCTGGAAGGGAGTGGCGCCATCGCTCTCCGTCTTCGCCATGATGGCGGCACCATTTCTCACCAAAAACTCACACAGAATGCGGTCGTTACAGGAAGCGGCACAGTGCAGCGGAGTCCTGCAGACCCAAGAAAAGCTTCGGGTTACAGGACAGCAGGGCATGGCGTTCACACAGGTTAGACACGGAGGGAGAGCAACAGGAAGTGGATCAAAAATGATGTTTGAGTGAATCTTTACCAGCCGTGGCTGTCGGGAGCGCTGACGTTGGCTCCGGCACGAACCAGGAAGTCCACCACTTCGTAATGACCTCCACAGATGGCGTTGTGTAGTCCTGTGATGCCTTCATCATTCGACTGGCTGGGGTCGGTCATCTACGGCAGAAGATCGTCACAAAACCATTTCTACTTATGATGTCGCTATACTTTTAATGCCTGTTGCTTCCGGAGCAACTTTAAAATAAATGTTCCAGGAAAAAACGAAGGAAAGGCAGAACCGGACTTCCGTTGGAATCAAAATTCCTCCCCGTTCCCAGAGCTGGAAAAGCTCGGCCTCTTTATGGAAGCTGCTGAAACTGCAACGCTTTTACTTTAGTTTAAAGAAGATTTATTCCTCTTTATAAATCAGTTTTCTGAATATTAAAGCTGATCTATTAGAAATCCAGTGGCGGTTCTACCATTAGGCATAGGTCGGCGGCCGCCTGGGGCCCCCTTATGTTGGGGGGCCCTGTAGCCCTGACTGCTGGCACCCCTCTGTTAATGCCACAATGGACTATTCCTTTAAGACAGCGATGCACAAACAGGAAGTGATTGGTAGTCATTCCAGTCCAATCCAGTTGGTGGCGGTAATGCACCAAATTGTTGTTTGCCAAGTGCCATAAGACCACAAATGAGAAGAAGAGAGGCGGGAGCGTTCATAACAAACTTGAAGCGATAGTGAAAACATGAAGCATGACATGGAGTTATCCTCGTGGCTCCAATAAGAGAAAGAAGCAGCTCGCTTCATAAAAGCTTTTATCTTCACTTCCGAAAGGGACGTCGTTTTTCTATGTAAACATCAAAAGGAAGCAGAAAAGGAAAGACAATGGAAAATGTTTAAAGGGAGGAAAACATAGACCAAAATGGAAAATAGAAGAAAAAAAAGAAAGGTAAAAGCACGGGAGCACTGACAGGAAGGAGAAAGCACTCAAAGGGAGAGAAAGATGGGAAAAAAGAGGAGGACTAATGAAAAGTGAAAATAACTCGTGTCAGAAGAGGAGAGTTTCTCAAATCCAGTTAAGGATAAGATTGTCAAAAATGTAGTGTAAGGGGGCCCCGTGTCTGTGTTCGCCTTGGGCCCCCAAATAGCTAAATCCGCCCCTGTAGAAATCGCTTAAGGTTTTTAAAACTTTGTTTCCTTAAATCAAAAGTTTTACTTAAATAACTCCCAGCAACTCTTCCAGGTTCTCATCACGGGGTCTGAGGCAGGCATTGAGGAACTGGAGGCCGGTTCAGGATCTCTCACATGATCAGAACAGATCGGACCAACACCTGATTGATCAGTGGTGCTGGTCCATCGGTTCACTTTGGATTTTCACCCCGCGTGTTCCTGACGTGGCATTTTGGATGTTATGTAATAAAAAATGGGAAAAGTTTTTTTTATGTTGACTCAACTACAGACAAGGAGCACAGAGACCCAGCCGGTTCTTTGCTGAGACGTCCCCGTGTTTCAATACAACTCTGGCTCATCCCTTGAGTTACGGAGAATAGTGTAACAATCAGAAGAACGAGATTTTTTTTAATGAGAAATAAGAACTGAAACTGTAAAAAAGAAGCCAAGCAAACAAAATCAAAGTCTGAAAAGCAGGATTTTAACAAACCTTGAAAGCCGTTTTCGCTTTACTTGATTCATGGAATAAAGCGTTTTAACATTTCCTAACTAGAACAGTGATGTAAATACCTCCTGCACGGCTTTCTTCACCGTTTCCAGTTCTCCCATCAGCGCTCCGTCCAGCAGCAGCACCAGTGGACTTAGCCGGGCTCGCCGTCCAGAACGCTTGGCACTCCGACTGGAGCGCAGGATGGAACTGTAATTCTGAAGGAGATGAAACTGGCAGGTCAACACATTCCCGGTAGATTCCCTACATGTCACTGGAGCATGCACCGAGCTCACCTGGAAAACATCGTCAACTAAAAATCTAAAAATTGTGACATAAGTTTGATGTATTGATGTCATTATTAATCTACATTTTATAATTTCCATCGTCTTCCCAAAAGAGCATAAACATGTTTGTTGCTTGTTTTTCTGGGTGTGAACTTTCAGCAGGATGGAAAAAGTTATTCCTTACTTTGGCACCTTGTGGAATCTCTGCACGGATCTGAAGAACGGGTTCGGGGGCGGGAGACAAAGGTGCGTCCTCCCCCTCTGAGGAGCTGCCGTTGTCGCTGCCTTGCTCCTCTTTTGGCCGTTTGTCCTTGCGGAAAAGCTTGTCGATGAGGTTCTTGTACTGGTTTGGCTGCTGAAGCGAGGCGATGTTTTGGACCTGTGATGTATCCACAGAACTTCGTCTTCTCAGAGGGCGGGGAATTTCCGCCCTCATGCGGAAAACCTCCTCGATATCTGGGATCTCATCGCTCTGGGCCTCGTGGGCCACCACTGGCTGCAGCCTGGTGGGACTCAGGGGCCGAGGAGGAGGCGCCACGTCCTGCTCCACCTCCGGCGAACCTCCCGGAGTGGTCGGACTCTCATGTTGAACGCTGTCCAGACGCTCGATTTCTGCATCCACGTCGCTTGAATGTAGTGCTGCAAAAAAGATCACAAACCAAACTTATCAGTCGGATTCTACTAAAGACCATCCAGGTGTGTGCAGATGTGCTTTACCATCACTGTAAACAGCCGGCTGTCTCTGCTCAGCGGGCCGCTGCTCTAGCTTGAAAGCACGTTGGCGGAAGAATTCCTTGGAGAAATTCATACCCTGCCGATAAGCTGCAGCATTGCGTTCTCTCTCTAAGACCTGGGGTAGGCGGGGACTCATCACTCCAAAGTGAGGGTTCTGGAGGCGCAGGATGGCCGAGACAGGCACTTTCGTATACTGGCGGGACTGGGAGAACGTCGGAGGAACAGAAATGCGGGAGCTGGGCTGGTAGTAAGGAGCGCTCTTCGTTTCTCGATAGTGACTTTGTGGCTGAACGTCCGGTGGGACCGATATACGAGCATTACGGGGCAGAGAATTAAAGTTTCCCTGCTGAGAACTCAGCCGGTGATCCTAAAAAACAAACAAAATAATCATTCAAAGTGTTTTCTTTTCAGTGTTGTTGGTGTTTGAGCAAAGCTCAGCAGGTTCCTGCATCGGTGCAACCTTCAGTTTGCTGGAGGGTGTGAACATTTCTGAAAGATTGAATTCCTCGTGTCAGTTAAGTGTGACAAGTTCTTCAGCAGGAGTGAAAAAATACTAGCATTTATAAAAAATACTTCAGTTTTTATACTTCAAATACAGATCCAGTTGTTCAAGCTACTGATCTAAAAGCAAGTTTTATGGAAAGTTTGTCCTATTTTCTACCTGCTCAGTGAAAACTGTCTACTTATCAAAATGTGAATCTGAAGCAGAAACATTTGCAGCCTTCAGTCTGAAATGCCAGCAGCTCAGATGAAGCAACAGCACGTTGCTCTGGTTGGAAGGTGGAACGATCATGTTTCCTTTTATTGCACCAACACATCACGGCTTGTTTGGAAAGATCTTGTTGAAGGTGTGTCTACTTAGTCTTTTTAGTCTTAGTCTATTTAGTATACTTAGTCTGTTTAGTCTACATATGTCTATGTAGTCTACTTAGTCTTTTTGGTCTATTTAGTCTACTTAGTTTTTTTTGGTCTTAGTCTATTTAGTCTACTTAGTCTATTTAGTTTTTTGGTCTTAGTCTATTTAGTCTACTTAGTCTTTTCGGTCAATTTAGTCTACTTAGTGTTTTTGGTCTTAGTCTACTTAGTCTATTTAGTCTACTTAGTCTATTTAGTCTACTTAGTCTATTTAGTTTTTTTGGTTTTAGTCTATTTAGTCTACTTAGTCTATTTAGTCTACTTAGTCTATTTAGTTTTTTGGTCTTAGTCTATTTAGTCTACTTAGTCTATTTAGTTTTTTGGTCTTAGTCTATTTAGTCTACTTAGTCTATTTAGTCTACTTAGTCTACTTGGTCTATTTAGTCTACTTGGTCTATTTAGTCTACTTAGTCTATGTAGTCTACTTAGTCTTTTCGGTCTATTTAGTCTACTTAGTCTATGTAGTCTACTTAGTCTTTTCGGTCTATTTAGTCTACTTAGTGTTTTTGGTCTTAGTCTACTTAGTCTATTTAGTCTACTTAGTCTATTTAGTTTTTTGGTCTTAGTCTATTTAGTCTACTTAGTCTATTTAGTTTTTTGGTCTTAGTCTATTTAGTCTACTTAGTCTATTTAGTCTACTTAGTCTATTTAGTTTTTTGGTCTTAGTCTATTTAGTCTACTTAGTCTATTTAGTCTACTTAGTCTATTTAGTTTTTTGGTCTTAGTCTATTTAGTCTACTTAGTCTATTTAGTTTTTTGGTCTTAGTCTATTTAGTCTACTTAGTCTACTTAGTCTATTTAGTCTACTTAGTCTACTTGGTCTATTTAGTCTACTTGGTCTATTTAGTCTACTTAGTCTATGTAGTCTACTTAGTCTTTTCGGTCTATTTAGTCTACTTAGTCTATGTAGTCTACTTAGTCTTTTCGGTCTATTTAGTCTACTTAGTGTTTTTGGTCTTAGTCTATTTAGTCTACTTAGTCTACTTAGTCTATGTAGTCTACTTAGTCTTTTCGGTCTATTTAGTCTACTTAGTGTTTTTGGTCTTAGTCTACTTAGTCTATTTAGTCTACTTAGTCTATTTAGTTTTTTGGTTTTAGTCTATTTAGTCTACTTAGTCTATTTAGTCTACTTAGTCTATTTAGTCTACTTAGTCTACTTGGTCTATTTAGTCTACTTGGTCTATTTAGTCTACTTAGTCTATTTAGTCTTTTTAGTCTACTTAGTTTTTTTGGTCTTAGTCTATTTAGTCTACTTAGTCTATTTCGTTTTTTGGTCTTAGTCTATTTAGTCTACTTAGTCTATTTAGTCTACTTAGTCTATTTAGTCTATTTCGTTTTTTGGTCTTAGTCTATTTAGTCTACTTAGTCTACTTGGTCTATTTAGTCTACTTAGTTTTTTTTTGTTTTTTTGGTCTTAGTCTATTTAGTCTATTTAGTTTTTTGGTCTTAGTCTATTTAGTCTACTTAGTCTATTTAGTCTATTTAGTTTTTTGGTCTTGGTCTATTTAGTCTACTTGGTCTATTTAGTCTACTTAGTCTATTTAGTCTACTTGGTCTATTTAGTCTACTTGGTCTATTTAGTCTACTTAGTCTATTTAGTCTTTTTAGTCTTAGTCTACTTAGTCTTTTTGGTCTTAGTCTCTTTAGTCTATTTAGTCTACTTAAGTTGTCTTAGTCTACTTAGTCTATTTAGTCTCTTTAGTCTACATAGTCTACTTAGTCTATTTAGTCTACTTAGTCTATTTAGTCTCAACAGACAAGATACAAATGTTGGAAGTTCTAAAACCTGCAAACCTCCAACCTCAGGAGTAGAGTTGTCCTGATGTGTGGGAGTAATGTCCAAATGAAACCCGACTTCAGCAAGTGGAAGCTCCTACGTTTCCAAAACCAGCCGAGTTGATAATACACAGGGGCTTGTCCGGGATTCCCAGAACAGTTTTAGAATATGTGGTTGGTTGTTGGAAACGAGGTTAGTGAGGTCGTTTGTTTTCTTTATGTCATAACAAGAGTTGGTTTCAGCCTTACCCTGTTGAAACAGCTGGGGGGAGGAATGGAGCTAAGCTTATTCTACAAGATTAGACCTGTTCCCCAGCTAATATGGTTATTACAACATTTTATACACAGAGGCATCTTGTTGATTAGCATCTTATAGCATGATCTTAAGTAGGAACCATTAACTAGTACAAATATTAATCATATTGCAGAAAACTGTGGCAGAAAAAGAAATTTTTCAATATAGAAGCTAAAATAGGCCATTTCTTTGTGGTCAATGAGCATTATGAAGGTTTTCTTTTCATTTAGGTGTCATGAAATGCTGTATTTGGTCACAATGATATAAAATAAAATAATTACGAGTTCAACTCCGACTTCCTCCCACAGTCCTGAAACATGACTGTTAGATTAATTGGTCTGTCTAAATCGTCCATAGGTGTTTGTGTGTGTGTGTGTGTGTGTGTGTGTGTGTGTGTGTGTGTGTGTGTGTGTGTGTGTGTGTGTGTGTGTGTGTGTGTGTGTGTGTGTGTGCGTGCATGATTGTTTGTCCTGTGTGTCTCTGTGTTGCCATGCGATTGACTGGCTCTCTGTCCAGGGTGTACCCCGCCTGGCTGCCCATTGCCCCCCACACCCCCACACCCCCACCCCCCTACATGGACAAGCGGGTTCAGAAAATGGATGGATGGGTGGAATTACGAGTTCAAAGGTGTGTGACAAAAACAACCATAAATTTGTTCCCATTTTGTTCGACGTCTGATGTCAGTGTCTGAGTAACGTCTGAAGTTCACCAGAACCCATAAAACAAGTCGTCTACATGCTCTGAACAAGTCTGCACCAACCTTTTTTGGGCTGGAGGCTGGAGGAGGGCCATCCAGGTTGGACTCTCGCCAGGCACTGTTTGGCGCCGCCGTTCGCATCCACTCCTTCTCTGCAGAAGGAAAACATAAAGGTGAGAATCTGGAACACCAATGGCGCAAAAAGGAGAGTAAAACTAAATAATAACAAAAATCACCCAACTGTCATAAGTATGGTGAGGTTTCCCCTCGTAGGGCATGTCCAGATCACTTTCATTCCACCTGCTGGGACTTTTTTGCCTTTTCATACCGTCATCTTAGACGGAGATTAGAGATAATTAGAGAAGGAAGTACAAAAATAGATAAATATACACTAAAAACTTTAGTTTCTCTTTTGATGGTTTTAGCTGATTTATGAAAAACATCTTACCGCTTTGTCCGGAACTGTACAGATTTCGAGGAAGCGAGTTGAACGATGATGAGCTGTAAGGCACAGGGGACGGACTTCTGTAGGTCAAAGGAGATGGACCTATGTCATGTCGAGGCGACCTGAGGCCCATCTGGCTGTTGTCGTTTGGATTCAGCAGGCTGTGTGAGGCAGGGCGGGACGACTGGTCCAAAGGACCAGATATTAGGGTGGGAGGAGATGCTCTGTCCCGGTAAGCGATGGAGCCTTGTGGGGTCCTTTCAAAAAAAGAGGGGGAACCGGGTCGAGGGGAGAGGGGTGACTGTTTGGGGCTCTGAGGTGTAAACATGTAGCTGTCGGATCCTGAGCGGCGGTGTGAGGCGAGCGCCTTGCCGAGTTTGGGGGAGGAGTGTGGGCTGGGGGACTTTACCGGTGGGGACGGAACATTTCTGCTGCTGGACATTCCCGAGTCGAGGGGACTGAAATACATCGAGCTCTGGGACGAGGTTCTGGAGCCGGAGACAGAGGTGCCATTGGTGTTATTTCCAGAAGACCATGTGGAGCTGGAGAGGCTGGAGGGGCCGGACCTGTTCTTGGAGACATTTTGGCTTGCCTAGAGAGGAAATGAGAAAGAAAGAAGGTGTTTCTTGAGCAGAAATCAGCTGAGAAATATAATTCAAACAAATCTAAAACTCTTAAAATGACAAAAATCAGAGACAACAGTTAGAGTAAGATAGTTTAAGACTGACCTTTAAACAATCAGATTTTTTTAGACTTGTTTTATCCATGGTGACCTTAGTGACCCTGGTAGTTACTATGGTAGCCATAATGATTTGGTGGCAGAAGCTTTAACATTTTTTGCTACTTTCTTCATTTCTAACAGTTTACTGATCAAAACCCAAAGATGATGTTTAAATCTCAGGTATTTGCTGCATTTCTTCAGACATTTTTTAGCTCTTATTATGTTTCAAATGCTCCTTTTTAAAGAAACATGTGGTTTCTGACCTTTTGTCTCCTGAAACTGGAGCCGGAGTAAACTAAGCTGTGGTGGTCGCACGGCCAACTAGGCAGATTGTGGCTGGTCATGACCAGAAGATGAGTTTGTGGACCCAGTCAGCAATTAAAGAAACCTCTGTAGGAAGCAATAACCAAGGGCACCCCCAAGGGGTGGCCAGGGGTAGCCATGGCCACCCCTAGAAAATTGCTGCCCCCCCCCCAGGAAAAGCCAGTGTTAACAAACTATATATTGATCTTGTTTATTCAAGACATACAGTTGTGGTCAGAAGTTTACATACACTTGTAAAAAATATAATATAATGGCTCTACTGAGTGTCCCGTTATTTCTAAAACTCTGATTTGTCTCTGATAGAGTGATTGGAACAGATACTTCTTTGTCACAAAAAACATTCATGAAGTTCGGTTCTTTAATGTCTTTATTATGGGTTAACAGAGAAAAGTGATCACATTTGCTGGGTCACAAATATACATACAGCAGTGCTAATATTTGGTTACATGTCCCTTAGCCATTTTCACTTCAATCAGGCGCTTTTGGTAGCCATCCACAAGCTTCTGGCAAGCTTCTGGTTGAATCTTTGACCACTCCTCTTGACAGAATTGGTGAAGTTCAGTTAAATTTGATGGCTTTCTGACATGGACGTGTTTCTTCAGCACTGTCCACATGTTTTCAATGGGGTTTAAGTCAGGACTTTGGGAAGGCCATTCTAAAACCCTTATTCTAGCCTGATTTAGCCATTCCTTTACCACTTTTGATGTGTGTTTGGGGTCATTGTCCTGTTGGAACACCCAACTGTGCCCAAGACCCAACCTTCGTGCTGATGATTTTAGGTTATGTTGAAGAATGTGAAGGTAGTCCTCCTTCTTCATTATCCCATTTACTCTCTGTAAAGCACCAGTTCCATTGGCAGCAAAACAGCCCCACAGCATAATATTCCCACCACCATGCTTGACTGTAGGCATGGTGCTCTTGGGGTTAAAGGCCTCACCTTTTCTCCTCCAAACATATTGCTGGGCATTGTGGCCAAAAAGCTCGATTTTTGTTTCGTCTGACCACAGAACTTTCCTCCAGAAGGTCTTATCTTTGTCCATGTGATCAGCAGCAAACTTCAGTCGAGCCTTAAGGTGCCGCTTTTGGAGCAAGGGCTTCCTTCTTGCACGGCAGCCTCTCAGTCCATGGAGATGCAAAACACGTTTGACTGTGGACAATGACACCTGTGTTCCAGCAGCTTCTAATTCTTGGCAGATCTGCTTTTTGGTGATTCTTGGTTCACTCTTTACCCTCCTGACCAATTTTCTCTCAGCAGCAGGTGATGGCTTGCGTTTTCTTCCTGATCTTGGCAGTGATGAAACAGTGCCATGCACCTTATACTTACAAACAATTGTTTGCACTGTTGCTCTTGGGACCTGCAGCTGCTTTGAAATGGCCCCAAGTGACTTTCCTGACTTGTTAAAGTCAATAATTCGCTTTTTCAGATCCATGCTGAGCTCCTTTGACTTTCCCATTGTAGCGTTTGTGGGCGCTTGTATCCAATGAGCTCTATTTACCTGGTCTAAGAGAAGTCACCAGCTGTAGTCACTCATAATCACTCACAAGAAGTTAAGAGGCCATGCTATGAAGCTCAGTTCACTGACACGTTTCTAAGTCACCAAAATTGCTAGTTCATGTTGCTGTATGTATATTTGTGACCCAGCAAATGTGATCACTTTTCTCTGTTAACCCATAATAAAGACATTAAAGAACCAAACTTCATGAATGTTTTTTGTGACAAAGAAGTATCTGTTCCAATCACTCTATCAGAGAAACATCAGAGTTTTAGAAATAACGGGACACTCAGTAGCGCCATTATATTATATTTTTTACAAGTGTATGTAAACTTCTGACCACAACTGTAATTGTAAAACAAAATAAAATTATTACAATTAATGAGTAAAGAAATAATCAGAATTAAAAAAGAAAAAGTTTTTATCTCCATAGCTATTTTTAAACACAGCAACAGGTAAATTAACCTAAAAAAATTAATTTTTAAATGAAATTATGGATAACATTTTAAAAACTGAAATTTATATTTCTGAAATGTTTGTGTTTGTAAAATTCAAGTTAAATGTTTTGGACACCTACTGTTATTTTAATAAAAACTAATAAAGGTGCAATGCAGCACATCGCCACAGGCTAAATTTTCCCAGCGTTACCATAAGGAACAATTTGGTGTGCCACACCAAAAAGTTTCTGGCCACCCCTATCAAAATTTTCTAGAGGTGCCCCTGGCAGTAACAACTGGCAACAGACCTTCAGAACTGTCTGAACTAGCTTGTGTTTCTGAAATAACATTTTTAGTTAGCACAGTGGACCTCTGCACCAACAAACAAAGTTAAACTTGTAGACTTTATCTACATTTTAACTCCGTTACCTGATTTTGACTTTTGTCTTCATCAGATCTGAAGAAGAAGAAATCATCTTTTATATAACGACCCAAGATAAAAATCATGAGGTGCTTCACAAGAACAGAAGGTGTTCAATACATAGTGGTCGCTATAGGAACGGCCGTCTGAGGCTGACATCATAGCTGAGCTCCAGACGGCCGGTTTCAGTCAAATTTCCTGATACTTGGACATCTCTCCTCTGATTGGCCAACACGACTCTACCACTGTCTCTATTTTTGCTCTGCAACGTTGATGCTTTATCTCCTCTAATAACACAAGCCTGGAGGAGTTCTGCTGTGTGGTGGAGTTGCTAATGCTAACGGTTAGCTTCTACTAGCAGAGACGTTCTCTGCTGTTTCCTGGACCCTAAACCAGCAACAGACTTCCCGTTGTGAGCCAAGATGGATGAATCCATGAATGTCAGGTGACAGTGTGAAGTGGCTCTGTCATCAGAAGCTAATGCAGGAGATACGTGTAGGAGACCATTTTCATGTTCAGCCTGCACGAAACACTCAGAGTGACCCGTTAGAATCAGAAATAATCATTAAAAATGGCTTTGCAGTGTTCCACACCTTTAAACAACGTCAGGCTTATGTTTTTATCCCCAACCAGAGTTCAAAAGTTTCTGAACACCAACAAAATAATTATCTTTTGTTCATCAGGAACCAGTTTAGTCAGGGAGCGGCCCAGAGGTTCCAGGAAGTGGAACAGAACAAAGACTTGACACGACTTGTTAACGGCTCGCTGCAAATCTCTGCAGAATGTGTGTGTGTGCGTGTGTGTGTGTGCGTGTGTGCGTGTGTGTGTGTGTGCGTGTGTGTGTGTGTGTGTGTGTGTGTGTGTGTGTGTGTGTGTGTGTGTGTGTGTGTGTGTGTGTGTGTGTGTGTGTGTGTGTGTGTGTGTGTGTGTGTGTGTGTACCTGAGACACCGTGTTGCTGCTGCTGCTGGAGGAGGCTTCGTTCATCATGGAGCTAAACTCCTTGGACAACTCGTCTGCGACGCTCAGAGAGGCGTTCAGGTCATCGTTTATGCTCTGGACTGAAGACGAACCGCCACACACACACACACACACACACACACACACACACACACACACACACACACACACACACACACACACACACACACACACACACACACACACACACACACACACAGACGATTAGTGAAGGATGGCATGAGCAGGAAAAACGGATGAATTAGAAGGTTTGTGGAAACTCACACAGCAAGCTGCTGCCAAAAGCAGCCTGTGAGCTCATGGCTGTGAGGCTGCAGCTCTCTGCTCCTGGGAAAATAAAAACCGTCTTTAGACAAACACCGCTGAACTGGTTCTGGTTTCACCTCCAGTGCTCTGCTCTGGTTTTCTTATCTTTCCACTCAGCCCGTTGTTCCCAGCTCTGACACCTCCTCCAGGCACTCAGCTAAATAACTAGGATGCCTTCCATGTCTAAACAAGACTTTCACAGATGTCATACAGTCAAATGCTAGGCCCAATAAATAAGAATGACTGGTTTTGTTCTCTCTCCAACTTCCTGACTCATGTCTAATTGGTGGAGCAGGTGTGCCAGCTGGGCTGCTTCATCGTCTCAGACGGTCAGACAGGTGCAGACGCTCAGGTGGAGGCTGCAAACGCATCCGTTCATCTCAAGTCGGTAAAAATGTCATCCAGAATCAATACATCTGTTTAATTTCACCCCAAATTCAGTTTTTTATTTTCATGCATTTGGTGTTTTCTGATTTTATTTCCCACCTAAAATGCATCTCATTGTGTCCTCCAGAGACTCACTTTTATTTATTTCCTTCTTCGTGTGACTTTAAAAACACAAACAGGTTAGTGGGACTTTGACATTTTAAAAGTCTTGTTTTAAATATTTAGAAGAATTTAAAAGTTAAGAATTATTCTTAAAGTAAAAAACTAAATTAAAAGTTGTAAATTAACAGCCATTGTCCCTAAATATTAAAAGATAGGTTGAACCGATAAAATACTGCAGCCAGTGTGGCAGAAAAATATCCAAAATATCACAGAAATCAACACTTTAGGAACAAATGAAGTGTTTCAGTTCAACAGAACATGAATTGTTTTATTAATGAGCTTTGGGGTGTAAATCGTATCTGTATCCTGACACCGTCATTCATATTTTATATTTAGAAGAACAACGTTGAACTCATTTAGGTTATAATATCATTTGTCAGATCACATCTATTAATTATATTTTGTGTTTTCTCTCCTTGTTTAACAGCCAAGCGCACATAAGTCCCACACAACTAATAAGATTATTTATTCAACTTCCTGAATGTAAAAAAAAAAACAAATATTACGTTTTGACTTTTAAGCTTAAAACTTAAGTTTAAATCAGATGTTCATTTGTAGAAATCTAGTAAAGGACAAGACATTTATATGAGAAACTCAGCTTTGTGCGGACGTTTAGAGCCAGTCTTACTTTTCTGTAATTGTTGCTGACCTAATGTGGAGGTTGTACACTGAATAAGTAAAAAATAATAGCCTTTATTCTGTGATTAACAGGTTAAAAATATTTGATTTATTTCATGGTTAAGCTGGTTATAACATACTTTATTGAAATGAGTGATCTGTTGAAATATTTCGTAATGTAGAAGAAAAGTTTATCTAAAATGCTATTTTGCTCATGAGTGAAAGTTAAAATACACTGCAGTTGAAGATCGAGTGATCTGTGATCGATTATTCCTGCCTTGTCAAGACGACACAAAATTTGCTTATAAAAAGTGCTTCTGATGTATTTGCCTAAGTATTACCTTTTATGTTTACAGTTTTATCTATTTTTTTAGACCAGTTGCTATTCTAGAGTTTGTTATTAAACGTTTTTAGCTGGTTTGGCATTGACTAGTCAGGTCTGAGTTGGTGCGAGGGGAAATGCAGAGCTTCCACTCATTCAGTGGAAACGGCTGAACTCGCACCATGTCTGCGTGTTCCTTCTCTATTCCCCTTTTACAGGGATGTAACATTTTACTCCCACTGGAGTCGCGGGCGTTGGATCGTTTAACGTCTGTCACCACCAGGAGTGAACGTTCTCTTCTGTCGCTAACACCCTCGGATGTGGAGTCCATCGAAGCCCTCAGCACCTCAGAAACTACCTCAACAAACATTTCCAGGCCATCCAGCCGATGCAGTTCCACCAATCACGGCGTCCCACACGCCCATGGCTTCTCCACCTTTAAAAGGAAAACGCGGGCGGCCACGGCGGGTCCCCCATCCGGAGATCCCCCCTTACCCCAGCCAAACAGACTCACCCCACTCAGTCACAGAGACGCTGACCTAGCCAAGGGAACTGGACCAAATTCTTGCTTTGCAAAGTTTGGTCTAGGCACGCTCCGTTGGAACCTCCGCAGCTCCTACCAGGAATCTGGCTGGCCAATCACAGCTCTCTAGAGGGGTTTCAAACACATAAAGAGCTGTGATTGGTCCATAATGGTGGGCCAATCATAGTGCTCTATCTGCTTAGTGAACAAATCACAGAGCTTTATCCGCTTTGTGGGCCAATCAGGGCACTCTATATGCCTGGTGGGTGGGATGATGCAACAGAGTGAAACAAGAGTACGTCACATTCATTGTCCAGTAGCATGCGGAGATCATTTGAAAGACAACGGTAGAACCCGCCCCACAACCGAGAGCCGTCAGTGGAGCGTGGTAAATAATACATTCATGTAGTCTGGCTTGCCAGGCTAACGCTGACCTTCTCAGGGCTTCACCCTGCTGACATAGTTCACAGCATGGACCCCAACAGCCAACTCTCCCACCTCAAGAACTCAAGCAGCAGCTATTTCGGAGTGGCGGGACGTCTGGCCTGCGGGGAGAAGTCCAAGGTCCTGGCCCGACGAGTGACGCTGGATGAAGGTGCAGGATTTGGTCACAGATCACTCGATCTTCAACTGCAGTGCATTTTAACTCACTCATGAGCAAAATAGCATTTTAGATAAAAATGTCTTCTACAATACGGAATATTTCAACAAATCACTCATTTCAATAAAGTATGTTTTAACCAGCTTAACCATGAAATAAATCAAATATTTTTAACCTGTTAATCACAGAATAAAGGCTATTATTTTATTCAGTCTACAACCTCCACACTAACTCTAGCCAACACCCGTCTGTTTCTCTAACTTGTTCACCTGTTTTAGGATTCAGGATTAAGCAGCTTAACCAACAGGAAATCTCTTCTTATGACACGAGCCTGATGAGAAGTGAGAATGGAGCCGACATCTAAAGTTTTTCTTGTTTCCTTTCAGGTTTTGTTTAAGCACAACTCAACACAAGATGAGTGACTCACTATGATCCAACGCTTGCACAACCAGCAATCACCAGTTTGCTTCTGAAACGGCAAAGGTGGAGCAGCAAGGTCTTCTCTGATTGGTCAACCCCGCCGTCTGAGCTGGCTCTGTGCATGTGTCATCGCCAGGCTGCTGAAGTCTGATACAGTGATAAGCCACACAAGGTGAGCGTGACTCATTATTCGCCTACGTTTAACAACCGCACACCGGTTAAAAATCAGTTTCTGGTCCACAAGTCGGTCTGACGGGTTCTGTAATTCCATTTTCTTGGGCTTTTTGGGATGAAAATGGGCTTTTTAGCCATTGTTTGTGTGATTTTCCCAACTCCCAAAAGCCTCCTTTGTGTATATTTATTGTAAAGCCTCGTGGCGTTAAGCTGAATCTGAAGATTCCTGCTTCGTACGTTTCTGGTGAAATCCTCAGATCTGTAGATAGTTTAATGGAAACGGTAAAAAAAAAACAGGCCAAACAACCTCTCCAAACCTTTCCTCTGCACTCGAGCGCCAGCAACGATAAAATGAGCCGTTAGAGACAAAGACTGGGTTTATCCGTGCAGATTAAGGCGAGACCAACAGCGTTGTCCTGCGCCTCGAGAAGACCTTGACCCGAGACATCAAGGCCATAAAATCCCGTTGTGTTGGTCTGGGAGAAGAATTTGTCACGTTGCTCACATTCCTCTCCACTCCTCCCTGAGAGACGTGTTCCTAAAACACAGCCAGCGACTGTTATCTGCGTGCCGAGCAGAAACTCTCGGTGATGCACAAAGGTCAGCCGGACCCTCCCCGCTCTGCTCTGGTAATCATTCACCCCGACGCTGCCCTGCTTTCTAAACTCGGCTCGTGCCGCAGACACAACACCTCTTGATTCGCCACAAACGGACTTTTTTCATTCTCTTTAGGTCCGACAACAACTTTCCTTCTCTTATTTCCTGCGTGTCCCACACAGGAACAGCCAGTTTGCTTCTCTCCACGTTTCTGGTGGTTTCTCCTGTTTTTATTTTGGGTTTTTTTCTGAATGAAGAAGAAAGCAGTTGGAGGAAACTGCGATTACACACAGACATCAATCATCTACGAGTTCAAAAGCAGACTGACAGCTTGTGGTCAGCTCTGCTGTGCTTTCCTCTTTTCCTGGCTGCTTCCTGTATGCTGCTTTCTCCAAACGCTTCATGGAAAACCTCATATTTATCCCCGTCCCAGCAATTAGATCACCGTCTCCTCTGGTTCTACAAGTCACTACCTCATGAAGTCGAGCTGAAAATCACAAGATGGGGAAATCTTATCGGTACAAACCGAACGAAGGACTATTCCAAAGAAAACCAACGAGATTTAAAGGTTGAATATGGAACAGGAACATTTAGTTGCAGCAATAGAACAAGGCTCCCAGCTGTCCAGGCTCGCTGCCGATACGTGAAATGTTTTATTTGGGTCCGTCTGTTGTCGGCTTCTCCTCAACTCTGGTTTTAGATCTTTTATGGTCGCTCCTCTTCTGGGAAGGACAACAAATCCTGGGCTCAGCAGCTGCTCGACTTGCTAAGTCTGCCATTTTCCACAGGGCCAGCCTCGCTGTGGACTGTTACTAGGCAACCCGCAGTGGCACCCTCTACTGGCTAGTAGATGTAACATAAACCCAGTGTCGTGCCCGCTAAAATAAATATAGCATTCTTTTATTTCATTAAGATATAGTGTTTAAAGGAAATACTGTAGCTTCTTTCTGCACACCTCTAAACGCCCTGTTGAGGTATCATTTTTTTTAAATATAGCTTTTTGTTAAATTGTTCCATATTCAACCTTTACGGATTAAAGATGGAGGAGTTTAAGTATCTCGGGGTCTTGTTCACGAGTGAGGGTAGGAGGGATCGGGAGATCGACAGGCGGATGGGTTCGGCGTCTGCAGTGATGCGGACGCTGAGCCGATCTGTCGTGGTGAAGAGGGAGCTGAGCCAGAAAGCCAGGCTCTTGATTTACCGGTCGATCTACGTCCCAATCCTCACCTATGGTCATGAGCTTTGGGTAATGACCGAAAGAACGAGATCGCGGATACAAGCGGCCCAAATGAGTTTCCTCCGTAGGGTGGCCGGGCTCAGCCTTAGAGATAGGGTGAGGAGCTCGGACATTCGGGAGGGACTCGGAGTAGAACCGCTGCTCCTCCGGATCGAAAGGAGTCAGTTGAGGTGGTTTGGGCATCTGGTCAGGATGCCTCCTGGACGCCTCCCTGGGGAGGTGTTTCGGGCATGTCCTGCCGGCAGGAGGCCCCCGGGTCGACCCAGGACACGTTGGAGAAGTTACATCTCCAATCTGGTCCGGGAACGCCTTGGGGTCCTGCCGGAGGAGCTGGTGGACAAGGCCGGGGAGAGGACGGTCTGGAGCTCCCTAGTTGGGATGCTGCCCCCGCGACCCGGACCCGGATAAGCGGAGGAAGACGACGACGGATTAAAGATAATCTTCACCTTTAGCATACATCAGGGTGTGTCTCTGCACGCTTTTGTTCAGGTTCTTCTGCAACAACTCAACTTTCTCCTGATTTTCAGTGGAAGAGTTCATTTACTTCCTCTGTGTCGCCTTCCTCAGTTCCTCCCTCGTTTCCTTCCCCTGACCTCTCAGTCTTTGTCTCGGCCGAGTGAGGAAGGTGCGATTAAGGGAAATCTGATCCATCGTTTGTTTTTGGCCGTTATTGTTCTCTTTCCCTTCAGGCTGAGTGTGATCAAACACAAACGTACATGTGGTCTGTGCGGCGCTTTGGAGAAAACAGAAAACCTTATTATTAAAATGAAACTGGAGCGGTGATTACATTTAACTCCAAACAGTCACATGATCATTAAAAAACTACCACAGTTTTGTTTTGCAGTCGTGCTCTTAACTAGTGGAGCCTTTCAAACAACACACACTTCCACCCCAGTTGAAGGCTAAACTTGTCTGTTTTGAGGCGGCGTTTAAAAAGGGTGCAGAATGAGGGGAAAACACTGCGAAACCAGAGTATGCCAACATCACCAGCTTAATCTGTGATACCTGTGTAAATTTGCCTGGAAAGATTTTTTTATTCTATTCCTTAAACACACATTACCAATCAGAAAAGAAGGCTTTAATTAGATGTTTTTTCAAATCCATGAACTCATTGATCCTACACTGAAAAAAAGATCTGTTGGATTTACATAATTGAATCATGTACATTGGTTGCATGAAATTAGATTACGTTTTGATTTTATAACTTCTTTATGTTTCCCTGCAATGGACTGACTCTCTGTCCAGGGTGTTCCCCGCCTGATTGCCCGTTGACCTCTGGAGATAGGCAACAGCCACCCCACCCCCCCGCGACCCTGCGTGGACAAAGCGAGTTCAGAAGATGGATGGATGGAACTTCTTTATGTAATGCCAACATGTTGAATACATGTTAATTAAACAGGAACATTTCATGTTATTACAACATACATTTAACATGTTAACTCCTAATTTGTGGAAAGGTTTCACTTCCAGAATCATAATTTAAAAGTTAATATTTTTACAAAATGTGTTCTGTCGAGTCCTCCAGGACAGGACAGGGGAGGGTTGATGGTTTATCCCTTGGGGTCCACATGGTGGGGGTGAGGTGGTGCTCACTAGGGATGCACCAATGCGATACTGGTATCGGTGCCGATACTGCTACCAGTATCGGTATCGATAAAAGTTAACAGATACCAGTAAATGATACCAATGCAGTTGCTTGAAAGTGACTTCACTGTAACTTGTCATTTCTGTTCACCTAATATTATAGTTTTGTGATCACTTATATTACTTTTTATCTACCTCACAGTCTTTTCCTATTGAAAACAGAAGAAAATAAATCCTGTATTCCAATTCATTGCATTTTTTTGTGTGGTAGACGTATCTGTATCGGTAATCGGTATCGGCGAGTACTCAGATCCAAGTATCGGTTTGGAAAAAAGTGGTATTGTTGCATCCCTAGTGCTCACTCCTCAAAACTCAAACAAACACCTTAGGAATGTGGGTGGGTAGAAATAAAATGAATGACAAACACCACATTTCAGCCGAAACTCTGAGCAGAGGGTTTGCTGGAACAACACGCGGGCTCTAGCGGACCCCACCGGGACTGCAAGGGGCAAATTTTAGACCAAGACCCTGGAAATGTTCTCAGGAGGACTCGCCACATCTGGATTAGAAGGAGACCAATATTAGCGGATTCAACTTTAATATTTATGAGCATCAACTTTTATTAATGACATTTTAGCATGAAAATAACGTCTAGATTTACTGTAGTCCATGAAAATCGGCAGCACGTGTCGGTCATCGGCCGACCGTGTCACCGACTTATCGGCATCGATATCAGCAATAGAAAAACCAATATCTGTTGACCTATGATCTGAAGTGAAGAAAAAGAAGAAAAGTAATGAAAAATCAAAAAACAAACGCCTGGGGTACCATCTACCAACTGTGGGAGGGCTAAGTAAAGGCTTCGGAGAAAAATCTGAATCAGCCACAATTGGTATCATTATTTTCATCTGCAGTGGTCTCTAGTGCAAACGTCTGGATTGTTGTTCTCTGTTGTCACAAAAGCTCTGGCGCTCCTCTTTCAGGAAGCAGAAGTTAGTCGGAGGTGTGGGGGACAGAAAACACCAGGATTGGGAGTCTTAAGCATTATTATCGATGATATTTGGACACGGCAGCTGTGGCTATAATGTAGCTCACCCCCATCAGTGTGTGATGGCGATGAGCGTAGGTGTAGAAGACTATTTTTCCTTCCCTGGTCTTTCTGGATAGTGTTTCTCAACTCTGAGTGGTCATGTAAACAATAATAATCATTTCAATATTGACCAAAGAGATCGGGATTACATGAATTTTGCAAATTGCTTCACCTTAAAGACACGAGTAATATCCGATGTGATGTTTACACGGCCTAACCATGAACTCCAGACCGCAATGTCCCGTTGACATTCCTACATTCACATCCAGGTTTAGTGTGCAAAAGCATGGGGGAGGTTGTGTGTTGAATCTAAATGATGTTTCATGGTTTTAAACCTGCAGGTGCACAGAGGCCTTTACCCAAACGCGCTCTTCATCCATTCAAGAGTAAAATACAAGCTGTTGTGAAATAAGGAGGAATCACAAGAAAGCTATGAATGGGATGCTGATGAGTCTCACCCTTCTCAGATAAGCCTCCAGCCAATGTTCCATGCATGACTGGTTAGTCAGAGATGCAGTCTGCTCACATGATAACTGTCCTTTTAAAAGGAGTTTACACAACAGACATCCTCTAAACTACAGATTGTATTCCAGCTATATCATCACTCCTGGATTCCTTTGCTGGTTTGTGGCTCTCCGACCCTCCTGTGACCCACCATTATCCACCACCATGCCAGGAATCTGGCCAGAGCAGAATGTGACTCAGGAATCTCTCGAAGCTCCACAACATTTCTGACACACAAGGCTGGACGTGCAAAACCAACAAATAAACAGCAGGAGAAACCAAACATCTGTGTCAGGTTTCGTGTTTGTGCAGGCTTGAATTTAATGATGGGGCAGGCTTCGGAGACAAGCTGTCACCATGATGCGTTTGGCAGCAGGTTGCAGCAAGTGTGCTGCACAATGCAGCCCAGCTGGTTTTAACACAGAACCAAGTTAGAGAACAGAAGTTGGACAAGTTCCATTAAAATCCTGCAGCTCTAGATGGAAGTTTACAGATTAGCTGCTCAAACCTGCGCAGGAGACACCCCGATAGCTGTAATTCATCTAGAATAATATGAAATTATCCGGATTAAAGCTTGAGCAGAAACACAAAAAAAAAGCACGAGTTGGAGCTGTTGTGGCCGCCTGAGAAGTTGGCTAAACATCTGAGGTGTGTGCCAGGCACCAAAATCTGATTTTATAAAAGAGCTCCTCCTGAGATCCTCCGCAAAGAGCAAACCGCCGAGAAATCAGGCGAAAACGAAGAAAAAACAACTTCACAAACTCCCCGAACCCAACCAGAAACCTCCAAAACTCTGGTTCTGACAGGTTTTTCCAGAAACTCGCGTTTTGTCGACAACTTTCTCTCTGCGCTGTATTTTTCAGCGCAAATGTGCGTAATTCGCCTGCGCCACGATGGAAAGTAAAAGCGTTCTCACCTTAAACCAGCCAGAAACGTTCAGTTCTTTTGTCCCAGACACGAAAGGAACGCGGAGCTTCCTCCTTGTGCGTCTGGAGTCTGGCTGTAGCGTCTTGTTGTTGCGGTGGCTCGGCTCCAGCTTCACTCGCTGGCTGCTGCGCACGAGTCCAACCCCTCTGCTGCTGCTGCTGTAACCCGAGCCAGGTGTTTCTGCACAGCTGGCCCAGGTCACACCTCACTTTAATTGGACTTTCTATTAGAAAAGGAGCATTTATTCCTGAAACAGACATTTTAGTAATGTCTTGCTGTTGCACACCTGTATAATTATACAGAAAAGTTAGAAATGTTCTCGAAATGGCCTCAATGTGTATAATTATTATTACTAGAAGCTGTTTATATTGTCATTGTGAATTTGAAATAGTGTCTGCAAATAATATCTTCAACCTTGTCTATAAAAAAAAAGTTATGGATGGATGGATGGATGGATGGATGGATGGATAGATAGATAGATAGATAGATAGATAGATAGATAGATAGATAGATAGATAGATAGATAGATAGATAGATAGATAGATAGATAGATAGATAGATGGATACATAGATGATAGATAGATAGATAGATAGATAGATAGATAGATAGATAGATAGATAGATAGATAGATAGATAGATAGATAGATAGATAGATAGATAGATAGATACATAGATAGATAGATAGATAGATAGATAGATAGATAGATAGATAGATAGATAGATAGATAGATGATAGATAGATAATTTCATTGATAAATAATTTTTAAGTTTTAAATAAATATGCATGATTTTAAAATACATGGCAAACACTAATTTAGGTCTATATAAATGGGCGTAGATGTTTAACTGACACTAATAAAAAAAACTGTCACTAATTTTACGTCATCACGTAACCTCTACGGACTCCGCCCCTCTAGGGAAGTGTTTCCGCCAAGATGGTTGTCGGTGCCTTCCCCATAGCCAAGCTCCTCTACCTGGGAGTGAGGCAGCTGAGCAAGCCCGTTGCGAACCGGATAAAAGCCGGAGCCCGTAGGAGCGAGTTCTTTAAAAACTACATCTGCCTGCCGCCGGCGCAGAGTAAGTCACCGAGCTAACGGCCGAGAGTTTACCGAGAGTTGTGATCCAGCACCGAACGCTGGGACAACCAATGATATGCAGCCTGATCGGTCTTCTCATCCAATCGGCTTTTGAGATTTTTTCTTTTAACCAATAGCAGCCACGCTGGCTGTTAGAAGGCGGGTCGTTGTTGTCATTGAGCAGAAGTCCGTGAGGGCACGACATGAACATAATCTTCCAGACATTATACCGAGACTCCTGACATTTTAATTGACCGTAACATTATCACCAACATTAGTCGGCATTTGACTTTATTTCTGAGACGTATACGTTTGTTTCGCTAACCTAAACGCTGCTTTACCTGCAACTAAAGCTAACAGGGCATGTCATGCTATCTCGTTCTTTGCTATGAATGCAGCTGTATCTCAAAACACGCAAAATTACAGCAATTTTTCTATTTATTTACAATTTTAATAAAAGAAGCAAAAGTGAAAGGATTCTGGTGCCGTCATTCATGGAAAAGCCTTGCTTGTGGGGCTGGGCAGATCAAATAAAATCAAATCACTTTTATTGTCACGTCACATGTGCAGGTACACTGGTACAGTACATGCGAGTGAAATTCTTGTGTGCGAGCTTCACAGCAACAGAGTTGTGCAAAAATACAGTAATGTAAAAACAAGTAAAATATAAAAATGGCTAATCTAAATATACAAATGAATAAAGTAAACAATAAGATAAGAGATATAAAATGTACAGACTGAGGTTGGTATGTGCAAAACAGTGGCAATCCCTTGATGGAGTACTCTAAACAAAAACTAAATAAGGATATTAAAATTACACATTAACTGTTAGAAATAAAGCCTTTAAAAGGGATTTGAAGAACGTTTCTGTTTTCCTGTGCATGCCAGTTTCTCACTAAACACCCTAAAACAATGAAAAGAGAAAACATCTGTCTATAATATTTTTGTGCTATAAAACTATTGCCTTGAGTTCTATTCTGCCATAAATTTGAGGCTTTTTTTGTTCACTTTTTCAAGTTTGGGTGTTTTATGTGCAAGAATGAAAGCTTAACTCATGCGTTCTTCTGTTTGTTCTTGCAGTGTATCACTGGATCGAAATGAGAACGAAGATGCGGATCATGGGCTTCAAGGGCGCCACCATCAAGCCGCTGAACGAGGATGCGGCAGCAGAGTTGGGTGCAGAGTTGCTGGGAGAGGCAATCATTTTCCTTATCGGTGGCGGGTGTATGGTGGTGGAGTACAGCAGGCAGGCCGCCAACTCCCGTCGCAAGGAGGAGGAGCTGAACGAGACTATCACAAGCCTAAAGACTGAAATAGCAGAGTTAACATTAACAACAGAGACTCTTGACACTCAGCTGAAGGAGGTCAAGAGGCTCCTGCTTTACTTGCCTGCTCCCACTAAAAAGTGACAACATTTGATATGCATTTAATTGTTGGCCTGTGTGTGAAGGTGCATTCAAACAACACTGTCAAGTGCACAACTTGATTTCTGCCTTTCTCCACACTGCCCCCCGCCACAGAGCTGGGAGAAAAAGGTGGACATCAGTGCACTGTGAGTTTGGGAGCTATCATTTGCTCATGCTTTGAGCAACAATAAAGGAACACTATGATATTCATAGTAAATTTTGATCGATGACTTTGCATGTTTACTTAAAATAAAATTAACTACATGAGAGGCAATGGTGAACTTAGAGTTAATTTATTTTATAGCAGCTTGAGCATACTTCCATATCAATTCAAGTAAACAAATCTTATAGAATTTGAACATTTTGCTTTGTGTTTCTCAGCAGATGATTTGTGTTCTGAGTTATTAAATGCATTCCAAAAAAATTAAATCAGATCACAGCTGTTATTTTTCTACAGTTTTTACATCAGATGTATGATTATTGGTTTATATAAACCTGAGTAAGGATGGTGTTAAATCAATATGCTGTGTAATTCTGTTGTTATCCCCTCTTCAGTGTGAGCTAAACCATGGGTGTGCTGTATTATGCGCTTGATGCTTGAGTTTTTACTTGATGTGTAGTTTTAAATTCACTTAACTATTTCCAGTTACAGATTATTTATAAAGCACTTTACGCAGGACATAAAAGCCCAGGTAAGTCCTGTACACAGAGGAAATTACAATAAGACAACTGTAGCTAGGCCTACCTAAAATAAAGATAAAACAGATGTTTTACTTATAAACAAGGCCTCATAGCTATATATACATATATATATATATATATATATATATATATATATATATATATATATATATATATATATATATATATGTATATATATATATATAATCACTGCCACAATTTCATATATGTGTGTAGACCGACACATTAGTGTGAATACTTTAATAAAGTCAATTATAAATTTACCATTTCGGAAAAACATTAGAAAAGGGTAATAGTGAAAAACCGACCCTTTTGCGCGTGCGCATTGGATTTACTGTCGTGATGTTGGTGTGCGGCTCTAGGGGGCGCTAGTTGTTCTTTCAGTCTTTTACCTCGACTATAACCCGCGCAGCTCGCGTCAAAGAAGGTAGGCCTCAGCTATATTTGTAATGAAATTGTATTTTATTATTACGTTATAAAGTGTATGTGCGATGCATTTACTGTAGCATCTGCATGAGAATCTTAAGTATCAGAAGGCGCATTACAGAAGGCGTATTTTATCAAAATTAAAGTATCTTGTGTTGCATTGCTTGACGGAACACAAGCTAACGCTAGTCTCAAAGTGTATCCGTCGTTAGCCGCACTGACAATTTTCATTATAGGAAACAAACAAATGTAGTTGAGTGACATTTTTTCATCTCACAGAACATAAATTTAAACATATTTACGAGCCTTGTCTGTTATAGGTCATCAAGACTTCATATTTGAGTTGTGTAAATCTGTTCATAGGTGTTAGCCTAGCTAAAACATTACGTATCCTGTTCAGGCAGAAACGGCGCGACAAGGATCCGTTTGAAAGTTGGGGCTCATCGATGCTAACTACGCTTCTGTTCTTTCTGCGTTGTTAGAGAAAGACCACAACCGTGAACAAATTACATCGACCATGAGTTTAGACGTAAAGAAACTGAAAGTAAACGAGCTGAAGGAAGAGCTCCAGCGCCGCGGCCTGGATACTAAAGGCCTGAAGGCGGACTTGATGGAGAGGCTGAAATCCGCCCTGGAGGAAGAAGCTCAGGAGGAAACATCTGAACAGGCAGAGCAGGAGGATGCCCACAATCAGGAATACCAGGAGGAAGAAGAGGAACAAGGTAGAGCTCCGTTAGCTGTAGTTATAGCTTTACTCTTTTATTCGCTGTCTAGTTTAGGATTTGGGACCATTTCACACTTTAAAAGTTATGAACAATAATTCCCCAAGCCTGCTGCTAAGATGACACGTGTCATTGTCTCATTTGCTCATAAACAGTTACTTCATCTACTACTACTTAATTGATTTGAGTTTAAGATTGTTTTGGTAGTTTGACACTTTGTATTTTGTTTTACACGATTATAAAAAAAATTGTTCTTGTTTATTTTAGAAAAAAATATTTGAACACAACTTGTTTGTTTACTAGTCTCCATAAAATAAATATATATATCTTTTAAATCATTCATTTGACTTTTTTTGCAATTAAACGTTTTCTCCGTTTTAGGTGCAAATGCAGCTCAAGACTTTGGAAATGAAAGTGGTGGTGATGATGAAAATGTTCCGCAAGACGAAGATGAAGGCAGAGATTCTGGTGGCTATTATGAGGAAGAGGAGGCAGAAGGCGAGCCTCGCAAAGGCCAGCAAGATTCAGATTTGGGTCAAGGCGCACCGGACTTCACAGCAGATGAGGATATTCACGGATCAAACATGTTTGAGGAGGAGACAAAACCAGAAGAATTGCCGGAGGAGAGAGTGGAGATTAAAAATGGTTACTATTCAGTTTCTAACTTTCAAGCATTTTGTAGTTCTACCACAAAAATGTTGTTAATTTAATCATGTGGTCACTGTTATTCTGCTGAGAGAACATTTGACAGCGAGTTTTATTCACATGTTAAAAATGATTTTGTATTTTAGAAGTTGCAGTCAAAGTAAAAACAGAAGAAGAGGAGACTGAACCTGTTGAAAACAAACAGCAGGATGGAGAGCAGCAGCAAGAACGAGATGCTGCAGACTTGGCTGAGCGGGTGAAAGTGGAAGATAAAGGTGGAAACTACAGCCGTAAGAGGCCACACGAGGAGAACCGGCGCTACGGCTACGAGAAGAGGTAAGTTGCTTAACCCATAAAGCTTCTTGATGTATTTTTTTGTACACAGTGTTTGTGTTTTTGTGAGTAATTTTGTCTTTGCAAATTAGGGCTGAACATTTGCAAGAAATTGCGATTTGAGTTTAATTCACGATTTTATTGAAATCAAAGTTCAACATGGTCACAAAATAACCATATAAATTATACCATGAAAACATCATTTTTTCTCCCATTATCTGTTTTATTCTTCATGTTTTAATGTGTTTGTGAAGCGACTTGTTGTGATTTTAATTTGGAGAAGTGCTTTATAAAAATACGTTCTTCTTGTGTTACTCTAATAGTGCAAGGAGGAAAACTAAAGGTAAAATTGCTTTCAACTATTGACAAATATGCATAAAGAGTTTTCCCTGCATTATTTACCGAGTCAGGCTGGCTGGGTGTCTTTCTGTGCCGACTGCAGCAATAAAAAAAAATGCCACCTCTGCATAGGGAAGAGGAGTGTGCGTGCACGCGTCTGCAGTAAATGTGGACAGGCTGTGTGCAAAGAGCACATAACTGTTCTTTGCATTGTCTGCACCGGTCAGCGCCCCCACCACTCACACCCTCACTTGTTCTTTGTGTGATGTTTTGCAATAAACGGTTCAACTGGCCGTCTGTGTGTAAGTGTTTTTGTGCACCAGAAGGGAAAAGTAGAAAGACTAAACAAACATTTGTATGCCTGCGTGTGTCATTCCAAAGCTCTGACACAGAAATATTTAAATTGTTATTTTTTTCAGTGCATACTTTAATCATAAACCACACTGAAGGCATCAAATATCAGAAATGCAAATGTTTTATTGTGTTTTGTGAGTTCTGCAGCCAAAAATTAAATTAATCAAAAAAATGTTGACTTATGAAATATTTTTCAAGGGAAAAATGTGCTATTTTCACGGGAAAAAAGCTGTAAATGGCATTTTGTATCCAACTTCAAAGTGATGTAAAATAACGCAGCTGCTGTAACCCAAACCAGACCACTTTCTGTTCAAGCCTCTAAAGGTGATCCTTTTCTGGTTGTGCACAGATCTCGAACACCCCAGCCTCCTGCTGAAGATGAGGAGGAGAACATTGACGACACTCTAGTGACAATTGATCCATGTAAGTTCAAACTTTTACTTTTTCATCTTTAAAAACCCACATTTGGTGTAAAAATTCAAGTGACGGCTCTCGTTTCTTCTGCTGGAGGCGTTCTAACGGGTCAGAGTTAGCTGGATTTGAGGCTAACGCTAATCACGTCCTCCGTTTCCACTGAGAGGTCTGAAATCTTGTTTTCCAAATCAGCTGTGGTCTGGAGATTGGTCTGCCATGAACTTAGTGCTTGGTGTTGGTTCTGGCTGCAGCAGCCTCAGTTCTCAGTAACACAGAGGCTCCAGACACAGCTGCTGGGTTAGACTCAACACTCAGATCTGATACGGTCACATTCACATATCAACCAAGTCTGAAACGTTACCAAAAACAGGACATGATCCCAGTTCACCTTTTTAATAAATAAAGTGACTTAGTGGAACAGCTTCTGTTGCTGTTGAGCAGCAGCAAACTAAACCCTGTTTGCTTTGTTAGGGGTAGGGTGACTGTTTGTTGTCATTGTTTTTTTAAACATTTTTACTATATTATGGAGTGAAAAATAACTTATTAGTTTCCAAAGGAGGCGCTGAAAACACGAGACCTTATTTTCTGGTTCAAAAAGATCAAATAAATCTAAATAATGATTTAAAGCACACCTGAACTTTCTCTTTCCCCTCCTAGACAACTGTGATTTGCACTTCAAAGTGTCCCGAGACCGGTACAGTGGCTATCCGCTGACCATTGAGGGCTTTGCTTACCTGTGGGCTGGAGCCAGAGCGACTCATGGCGTCACCCAGGGTCGCGTGTGCTACGAGATGAAGGTGATTTACACTCGGTTGATGCGTATGTGGACACAGAATGAAGGACTTACCACTCCGTTTCTCTTCCTGCAGATAAACGAGGAAATTCCCGTGAAGCACCTGCCGAGCACCGAGCCGGATCCTCACGTGGTTCGAATCGGATGGTCCCTCAACCACAGCAGCACTCAGCTCGGTAAGAAGAGCGCGGGTTTCTGCACGGTCTTTAAAAGCGTTTCATTATTTTTTAAATGTTTTTCAGATTTGCATAATCATGAGTAGGGTTGTCACGGTGTGAAAACGTAACCTCAGGGTTATTGTGACCAAAATTACCACGGTTTTCGGTATTATCGCTGTATTTTTTTTAAACGTGCTACATTTTCACACAACTAAATAAACCCTGTATGTCAGGAAATATTGTCCTCAGTTTGTGTCTAAATTTAGCCTAAAATGTGTTATTTTGTAATTATGTTGTTTATTTGTTTACATATTTCCCCTTTAGTCTTTAAAATACCAATATTTGCTCATAACTTCTTATTTTATGTCTGTTTGATGTCATCATTTTAAAAATATTAGATCAGATGATACTCAGTACTCAAGTAGCCTTCTAATCAGATACTTTTTTACCCTTACTTGAGTAATAAACCCTATATCAGGAAAATATCGTCCTCGGTTTGTGTCCTTCCAGTGAGCTTTGCAGATGTGGGAAAATGTCATCAGGCAGTAATCATTGTTAAATTCATAATTATTCTCGGAGAGAGACCAACTCTTATCTGCCCCTGGGAGCCCCGTAATGCATAGCGTCATTTCAACATGGCGGTGTCCGCGACACGGTTTATATGCAGGTAGTGGCGCTGCGGCTGCTTTATATAGCGACTCGTTGCATTCTCCCTCAACCCAAATCCTCGGATCACGCATTTTAGCTAAAGCGCTAACGTTAGCTTGCCTTGCGTTGACTGTAGAGTTGTGGGTGATGGTCACGCAGATGTGTCATGAGATTTGAAGCGTTGCTGCCTTTCACAGACACTTTTTCTACACGTGCTGCAAACAGGATAGCCGTCTTCTATCAGCTGTCCCTCGGCATTCTTCAAATATCCGAAAGATGCCCGTACTTCCCACTTTGTCTTCTTTGAGGGATAATAAATGTCCTGAGCGCTGCCGTCTCCTCCTTTGGCCATTATTTCAGCTTTAGCTTCAAGAAAGTTTTGGTTGTAAACAACAAAGTGCGCATGTGCCACCGGCAACTTCAGCAGATGATACGGTGGCTGGTAAGGGTCACCGCGCCTACACCGCAGCCACGGTAATCCACCGAGATAATATAGTTTTAAAAAACAAGACGGTTATTATTATTGTCAACTTTTTACCGGGGTTTACCACTACACCGGTTACCGTGACAACCCTAATCATGAGTAAATGAAAAGAAGTGTCGGTAGATTCTTTTCTCCGTTTCCTAAATGATCGAAACCAGAATTTCTCAACAGTTTTGCTTTTATGGAACATCGTGACAAGGAAACATTTAATTTAGATTAAAATAACGTGTTTGATGCATAAACCTCATAATTAAACCTGTTTTCTTAAAAAAGAATAAAAAACTTCACACATACATAATTTTGTTTATTATGTTTATGTTATAATGTATTTTAAAGCAGAAGAATTTCCCATTTGTTTTTTTTTAGAAATGATTTATTTAACAAACGTCTGTTTTTCCTGTTTTCTAGGTGAAGAACCTTTTTCCTTTGGATACGGAGGAACGGGGAAGAAATCCGTTGACTGCAAGTTTGCCGACTTTGGTGAGAAGTTTGGTGAAAGCGACGTCATCGGCTGTTACGTTGTGAGTAAACTGAGAATACCTGTAATTACTGCATCAATACCAAAGTAAATTGCTCCTTAACATTCAGAAGATTTATTTTACTGACGTGTTTGGAGCTCTAATAATGTTTTTGTTGCTGATATTTTATCTGCAAAAAATGTATAAAAGATTCCGTTTTTCCTTTATTGCATTTGCATTTTCTCTAATATAAGGTTACCGCTGGTCTGAATCCAGTAGATATTAATTCAGTTAGTTTCCATAAGTGTGGCTCCTTATTTCCTGTGTCCTGTACCGAACATTTGTTTTAACCGGAAGTGACGGTCGTGGTGCTTCTTTTAAAACTCATTTCCTGCAGGACTTCGAAAACGGTGACGAGGTGGAGATGGGATACACCAAGAATGGCGTCCAACTGGGCGTGGCGTTCCGTACGACAAAGGAGGCTCTGGCTGGGCGAGCCCTGTTCCCTCATGTGCTCGTGAAAAATTGTGCTGTTGAGTTCAACTTTGGGCAGAAAGGGGAGCCCTACTTCCCCCCACAGGAAGGATACACCTTCATCCACAATCTGGACCTGAAGGACAAGATCCGAGGCACAAAGGGACCTGCCAGCAAATCCGAGTGTGAGGTAGGAGATCAGTGTTCTGTTACAGCTAGAGTCCGACGCACACGACAAGTTGTATCAAAGAACGGGTCATGTAGGCTCCGTGGTGCCGGTTGGGAACAGATGTCTGCCGCTTTTAAAGTTGTCTCGCGCTTTCCCACCTGCAGAAACCAGGTCGAGACTCGTTCCAGGTGTGTGTGTGTGTGTGTGTGTGTGGCTCTGAAATTTAGTTGAGTAAATTTTTGTTAACTGCACTGAAAACCTCCTGTGACACCAGAGCTGGGCAAAGATTATCGAACTGTTTTGAACTGAAACAATCCCAGGGTGTCCGCGGGGTTTTAAAAAGTATTAAAAAGTGATAAATAAAAATAGTCAAATTTAAGGCCATTAAAAGTGTTAAATTTGGTCTCAGAGGTATTATTTTTTCCAAATTAGGTATTATTTTTTTCAGACTATCAGATGTCATATTCTGAACATCGACATAGAAATATATTCCGAATGAAATGTTTTGAACGATTATAAAAACAAAACAAGCCGATTATTTGCTCCTCCCACTTGCGCTGCCTTGAGTTGCAAATGAAGCGCTCCTCCCAGTGTTGCCAAGTGAACTTAGCGACTTTGACGCTATTTCTAGCAGCTTCTCAGACCCCCTTCTTGACTTTTTAAATCTTAAAAGTACCTAGCGAACACCTCAGAAACATCTCTGGTAACCCTTAGCTACTTTCTGGATAACTGTCGTCGACATTTCCTGCAGGTTAGCTAAACACTCCGCCTGCGCTCCGGACCGTTCTTCAGGACATTAGGAAAGGGAATTATGTAGTGATGTGTCAGTCGCTACAGAAACGGCTCTCGGAGCCGGCTCCTTGTTAGATTAACCAGAGTGAGTGACACACACACCGTACCTGCGGACTCCCGAGCCGCTAAAATCAGCTAAATGTGCGCGTGCGGCATGCTAAACACACGTGCAGCTTGCCCCTGATTGCTGTGAGACCGGGTTGGGGGGTGGAGGGTGCAGCTGTGGTTGGGACAATTATTACATTAACTTATGGACTTGTAAATAAATAGTTTATAAATAAGGTAGAAATAAGTTCCCCACGCTGATAAATAATAACTAATCTCTCTGAGGACACGGTGCTGCACTCTCCTACAGCACCTCGACATGACTCAATAAATGTTATGCAACATTTAGTGAACAGCAATTTGCATGTATTTGTTATAAATGCTGCTGTATAATTCTTGCTGTCAGTATTTGCAAGATATTGGTATTTGGGTCTGTACTGGTTAGACTTACATGAGTTAAACCAAGGTCTGTAGCCCTTGGGTCATAGACTATGAGCTATAAGTATATTGGTCTTTTTATACTGGGAATCAGGAGTTCTTTTAGTGATCATCTTTTTTCTTGTTTATTTTTGCCCTGATTGTGCCCTGAGCAGTTTTATGACTGAATAAAAACAACAACAAAAAAATCTACATAAATTGAAAAATCGTCTTAAATAATCGAGATCTCAATTTCAGTCACAATAATCGTGATTATTGTTTTTGCCATAATCGAGCAGCCCTACTTTAGCATATCCGGTCACATAATGATGACGTCATATTCAGCGGTCGTTGTGCATCATTTCAGGCCTCGTGGTCAACTGTCTGAACCGCTGAACAGAAGTGCCTGGCTTATTTTCTAAGTAAAATAAATATGTGCAATACGTTGTCAACATCAGTGAGTCTCTAAGTCTATTCTTTTTGAATGTTATATATGTTAAAATTTGTGTAAATAAGTCGCTGATTAACACTTGCAATTTAGTGTTGTGATGGTTTAAAAAAAATTCTGAAGGTAGTAAAAAAAGTATTAAAAAGTAGTAAATTTTACTTAAGGATTGCTGTATATATCCTGAATCCAAATATTCAAATTTAATTGAAATACTTTACATTTTAAAAAACTAATCAATTGAATAAATGCTGAGGGATTTTTTTTTCATTCTAGTCTGTATTAAAGCAACAAAACAGTTAAAATACTAAAAATCTTCTTGTGAAAGAGCATCAAATGCATAAGAGATTAAATGAGATGAAGACACCTTTATGAAGAAAAGTAGTCCTATATGCATAGCAACTTAAACAAGTTCATGTTAGAAATGGCAGTTAAACAGCCTTTATGTAAATATGAAATAGCTGTGCTTTTATTTGTTGCAGATCTTGATGATGGTCGGCCTCCCCGCCTGTGGAAAAACCACCTGGGCTGTTAAACACGCAAAGGAAAATCCAGAGAAGAAGTACAACATCCTGGGTACAAACGCCATCATGGACAAGATGAAGGTCGGAATAAAACCTTTTAATTATTGCTCCTGACCCAAAAACAAACAACATATCAAACCAACAAGGTGCATTAATGGTATATTCAATTCAATTCAAAGATACTTTATTAATCCCAGAGGGAAATTGATTAAATATAATACATTTTAAACAAAAAGGTAGAAGGCAGCATTTTTTAGTGTAACCCGTTTAATGAGCTATGGTCCTGATGCTAAAGCCGCTTTGGTGAATCTACAGAGTAAGCTAAACACAGTGGTGGAACACTCCCCTCGGGGATCGTCCCTGAGACTACTAATGCACCAATATGAAGTTTTTGGGCCGATACCGATAATAAGATCACTGTTGTGGCCGATAACCGATATTTGTCAATACGATATACTGACATTAATGCTTCTAAAGTCAGCGATGTTGTATTAAACGAAAATATTAAAGCCAAGTTTACATTATTTACATTTACCCTTCTGAGATGATTACATTCACTGTCACATGACTAAACAAATACCTACCTACCCCCCCCCCAAAAAAATAAAACAGGCAAACAAATGGAGACAAGATGGAAAAATTATCAGTTGTTAACATCGGCCCGGTTGTATTTATGGGACTGATATGTTAAAATGACTAACATGGGCCGATACCGGGGGGGTAGTTTGTCCTACAGCTGAAGCGGTAGCAGCCGGCTGTTTCTCCTCCTCTGGTTTATTGAGCGGAGAACCTCTCACACCTGTGGTGTTGTGCTGCTGAGTACGTGAGTGTTTGATGAGTGGAGGACCAGGGAAGTTGAGCGGTTCGGTGAAACCGTCGCTGGAAATTTTTAGACAAACGCAAGAAAACCACTTTTTTTTATCTGTGCAATTTAATACAGCTAAACTATGTTGGAATGTTGTTAAGAGTCATAAAAATGCTTTAAGCTAATTTGTTTTCCATATTTGCTGTTGCAGCTTCAAAAACCGGCCTCTGGATGTAAATGTAGTTTTTTATGAATCAAGCCATAAGCTGTGGAACTCTGAAAAAACATTATTAGTTATTATTTCTGGTTATAGTCTGTCACTGAGTTTTTCATGCAGGTTGGACATGAAAATGGTGTTGGTAGCCATGGTGCTAGAATTTGGCCTGAGCCTATGTAGAGGAAACACTGCGCTAGCATTAGCAACTCCACCACACAGCAGAACTCCTTCAGGCTTGTGCTATTTGTGGAGATAAAACATCAGCGTTGCAGAGCAGAGTCGGCGGTAGTCGTTGTGTTGCTGTTAGCCAATCAGAAGAGAGATGTCCAGATACCTGAAAATAAGACTCCAGCTCCTGCCGTGTTAAGCTCTCCTGTGATGTCGCAGACTTGGCCCTGCTCAGCAAGGGGTTTGTGGTTGTATTTGTGCCCCGAGTACTGCCTGCAATGCATTCATTCCTACTTGAGATTACCGCAAATGTATTAATTAAACAAGTAGTCCACACCTTTAAACCGCTCGGGATTGTTTCTTCTTCATGTTTAAATATGATGACACGTGAAACATGATGTAAACTGAGGAACCAGAAAAGTAAGCTCTTAAAAAAGAGTTTTCTTTTGCTGTCAGGTGATGGGTCTGCGGCGCCAGAGGAACTACGCCGGCCGCTGGGATGTTCTGATCCAGCAGGCGACTATGTGTCTCAACAGGCTGATCGAGATCGCCGCCCGCAAGAGACGCAACTACATCCTGGATCAGGTACAGGCCCCCACACCTCCACCTGCCTCTCATTCTCACCTGACTGAGTCAATGTGCCCTGATTTCTCTAATGAATTATTCATTTATCTTTCAGGGAGTCTCTGTGTATTTTAGACTAGAAGAAGCTTTGATCACCTTGTTGTCGTTTGCTTGTCATGTAACAAAAAATGATTAATTGCTGTCATAAGTGACAGAACATGTCGTGTTTTCCTCCTCCAGTATTACTTCACTTGCTATTTTATGTGATATCACAGTATTGTTTGTCTCGTGAACAATGTACAAGTAAACCATGACTTTGTAAAGATGTTGAGAAACAAGTAAGCTCTGACTGGTGAGTAAGAAAAACACCTTCTGTTGCTAATTTAATAAGCCAGAGTTTTTAAAAGCTGCTCTTGAGTCAGAAACTTGGAACTTTTTGAGTGTGTTTTATTAATTATTTTTAACTAATTGACCCCGAAGGTAAGTAATGACTAACGGCGTTTAGATTTTCAGGTCCTTGTGCTCGGTCAGCATGCAAAGGTAAGTGGGTCTGGTGGCTCTGTCGCCATGGAAACTGTGAGTACGTGACGGTAGGTCGTACCTGTTTGTCGTTGTCTGAAATGGGACTAGAGCTCGTACGAAGAACAGGTGAGTCCAGGTAAGTGGGAGGGACCCATAAGAGACTGAGTTGAGTGTTTACGTTAGACTCTTATTGCCTCTTTTTAAGGGCCTTCAAAGTCAGAACAACATAGACTCATCAGCATTACTTGTTTTATTTATTTTTTTCATATTAGATTACCTCATTTTTCTGGTTCCGTGTTCTCTCTTTCTGATTAGTTTGAATTATTAATAGATTTATTTTTCTGCCATACATTTACATCTGCGTTAGGGCTGGGCGATATGGACCAAAACTTATATCTCGATATCTTTTAGCTGAATTCCGGTTTCCGACATATCTCGATATTTTTCCTCCTGTAAAATATTTACAAGTTAACTCGCTTCATGCTGTCTGGAGAAATTATAAACATAAATCAGTAGATTAAATGCATAAAAATGTATTGGTTCTTGTCAAACTTTAACCTTAGTGCCAATTCTCTACTGGTCTGAGCTTTAGAAACACTGGTACAGCTGTCTGTTAACACACACACACACACACACACAGTTGAGAGCTAGGTGCATCAAATGTCCCACAGGCACTTTTTAATTATATATTTATAATTAATGTACAATTATTTAAATTTCATCTAGAGGTGGCCATATCGTATATTTCTTGTCCGGAGAAAAATAAATCTATCATGTTAAGCTAAATGTATGATGATGTGATTGCATCTACTGAAGATCACATGGGTCGCACACCGTGGAGTTATTACAGGGTATCCGCGGGTCCTCAAAAAGTCTTAAATTTGCTTTTCCATATTTAAGGCCTTAAACATCCTTAAAAATGACAAATAATCCTTCAATACATTTTCCAAAGGTCTTAAATTACCAAAGACCCAATAAACAAAATTATTTCATTTCTGTAAAATTTTTGTGAAATTCTAGTTAGTGTTCAGCATTTTTGGTGTGTGATATTGACAAAATCGGAACCATACACATTCAGTTGGTTGTGAAAGAGCCATTTTTAGATGAGCACATTAGCTGGTTAAGCTAGTGGGAGCTTGTGCCATGGGGAAGTGCAAGTTTAATGGTAACTGGATGGTTAATCCCATGTTCGTGACGTGGTTAGCACCGGTTCCAGGTAATAGCTGGAAATTATAGCTTAAATTTAATTTAAAAAATTGCTTCAATTTGGTCAAAGTGGCCTTAACAAAGGTCGTAAAAAGTCTTAAATGTGGCTCCCTTAAACCTGCAGACACCCTGTATTAGTTACCAGGGCAAACATGTCTGCAGTCTAACAGTATTGACTCACATCAGCGATGATACTGTAATGACTCAGAGTCTCTGGTTGCTCATTTATGAGTATTATTTTCGGGCTACTGTCACCGTAACCTACCCCTTACAAACTCATAACTTTTTCTACAGAATCGCTCGTAACAGAGTTTTTACTAGCATAGCAAACCAGAGCGGAAAAAACTGGAACAACATTTCTCACCCGTTGAGCTCGCCTTCAAAATAAAACTGTAACCCTGTAGTTTACTATTCAAACCCTTACAATATATTTGAGGTAATTTGGCCTCTCCGGCTTTCCGTAGATGTTTCCTCATTACACACGGGAGGGAGGGGTTTGGCTCGTCTCACCGGTGTCTGTACAGGATCTGCTCGGGTGTAAGATCGGCTCGGGGTCCGTCGACGGCCGATGACGTCAAAGTAGTTGATTGGCTGAACACGAACCTTACGGGAGTTACGTAATCACGTTACGTTGGTCCAGGCAAATCTTTCTGTTGGAAAGATGAACAACTTTTACAAAGAAATCCATCTTTACCTCTTTGAAAATACACTTTTCGCATAGAGCTGCATGTATATTAGGGCTGAACGATTAATTTTATGTGCAATTAAATTGCGATGTGACAAAAGGAGATTTTCTGATCTCAAAGGCTGCAATTTGGCAGCGAGTGGTTAGCGCAATGCTAATATACATGGAAAAACCCATAGGAATGCTAATGCTAATATCACCGATTACATTCTTACAAATTATGAATTAGAAACGTGCCAAATGATTACATTTGGAGACTAACAGAAAGTAAAACTACCATCAATCAAATAAGTACAGACAGGTATTTTACTAAAGCCAGAAAACTTTTAACTCCAGAGTTTTGGCTAGCAGCTATGAGTGTAACTGAACTACTCATGGACAAGATGTCAAAAACTCTAAACACAAAATACTTCAGTAAACGGGACACACTTCTTTCCTGCAAATACAATTTCACAGGTGTTGCTAATACCTATGATCCTTCAAGGGATGTGCTCAAAGAAGAGTTCAACATTATGAATAAAATATAGTGTTTTATTTTACAAATACCATTATAAACACAAACTTACATCTTAAGAAACATTATTTTAATAACGAAACTGCTAAATTCTTTCTAACAGTATAGATGTGTAGTGTATTTTGTCCGAGTGGGTTTGCCGTACTTTGACGTCATTGGCAGTCGAAGGCCCCCGGGCCGATCTTGCACCCGAGCAGATACTGTACCGACACCGGCTCCGCACAAGCAGGATGGATAAACAAAACTCTGTTGGCGTTGAACGTACAAATAATTAAAAACCAGGACGCTAAATGCAAAGTTTAGAGCAGCACATTCACCCAGAGGCACTTAGATTGAGCAAACTTGTGAGAATCCATGTAATAGCCGCTTAGAGACGGAGCAACATGTCACTAGCATAGCGGCTAATCGCTAGCATAGCAGTTTGACCAGTTATATCGGTATGAAGATATAAAGTCATCTTATATCTTGTTTTATAATTATACCTAGCCTGGCAAGCCAGACTAAATAAATGTATTATTTAGTCTGGCCATGCTCCATTGACGGCTCTCGGTTGTGGGGCGGGTTCTACCGTTGTCTTTCAAATGATCTCCGCATTCCACTGGACAATCAATGTGACATACTCTTGTTTCACTCTGTTGCATCATCCCACCCACCAGGCATATAGAGGGCCCTGATTGGCCCACAAAGCAGATAAAGCTTTGTGATTTGTTCACTAAGCAGATAGAGCACTATGATTGGTCCACCATTATGGACCAATCACAGCTCTTTATGTGTTTGAAACCCCTCTAGAGAGCTGTGATTGGCTAGCCAGAGTCCTGGTAGGAGCTGCTGAGGTTCCAATGGAGCATGCCTAGACCATTCTTTGCAAAGCAAGAATTTGGTCTAGTTCACTAGGCTAAATTATACCGATATTTTAAAAATATCGATATATCGCCCAACCCTAATCTACGTGTTATTGGACACGCACACGCCGTTTTTAGTCATTTCGTTCTGTAAAAGCTATTTTTTTTTACGTGCATGTAGGGCTGGGCGATATGATGATTTTAGACCGTTTTACGATCTACACATCTGATGGTCTGTCATTTTTGAGATACCTTTTTATCACGATTCACAGCTCTGCTGTTGAAATTCTGCCTCTGAATGAAAAGGGAACTTACCTCCGGCGAATGACATGCCTTTGTTTGACCCTTAACCAATCAGAGTGAGTCATAGTAATATATTAGTGCCCCGCTTGTTTTCACCTGTGTGTGAACAAACATGGCTTCGGCCGCGGCTGAGAGCGACAGCGAGGTTTTCGTTCCGAAGAGGAACGCCTCGTCCGTTATATGGAACTGGTTTGGTTTTTCACCAGATGACAAAGAGCAGCGAAACGTCATTTGCAAAGTTTGCAAGGAGAGCGTCAAGGCAAGTGATGGCAACACTACAAACGTGTTAAATCACTTGTAAAGAAGGCATCCCAAACAATGCAGCGAGAGCCAGCTGGCAGCTAAAGCTAAAAAGCCTGCGGCTGCAGCGGCTAGTGCTTCTTCCAGGCAGCAAACGCTAACAAACACACACAACTCACTCCCTACGACAGAGACAGCAGACGATGGAACAGCGTGACAGATGCAGTGACGTACCACTTGGTTAAAGGTTTGTGTCCCGTGCGAACAGTAGGAGTGGGATTTAAGAAAATGATAAAAACATTGGATCCGCGCTACGAGTTTTCCAGCCGCAAGTATTTTTCGAACACCGCCATTCCACACATGTTCGCTGAATGCAAAGTGAGAGTTGCAGAAAATATTCAGGATGTGCAGTTATTTGCTACCACAAGCGATCTCTGGTCCAGCCGCACATCAGAGCCGTATTTGAGCTTAACTATCCACTACATGAGCTACTGGGAGCTACATAGTATTTTGAACAAGTGAATGTTTGCACAATACGTTTGCAATTGTCATGTTTGCACTTTAAATATGTTTACGATTTTAATTTATGTTAAGTTACTTGAAAAACGAGAAAAACTGGTTTTTGTAATTGTTTCTCTCAGGGCTTTTATCATCTCTGGTGTGAGTTTAAAATATAAGTGTGTTAGCGCTGTGCTGATTATCCCTAATATGAATAAATGTTTGTTTATTCATTGTTTCTCTTCTTTAATACGCAATTGAAGTTATGCTATTCATGGATAAAAAAATCGTGTTAAAATCGAAATCGTGATAAAATATTGGAAAAATCGTGATATTGTATTTTTGCCATATCGCCCAGCCCTAGTGCATGCTGCTTTACAGTGGTTCTGAGCAAAACTAACAGGAATCCGCAGGTTACAACCGACGCCGAGCTGCTTCTGCCGATAAAAGCAGAAATAGGACATAAAACCAACTTACCTGCTGTTTACCAGCATTATAAATGCAGTTCAGCAGGATTGTTATTCCTGACATGAAGTGAAGCATTAATTAAGACTATTTTTATACATATATTTCATTTTTGTGCCTTTACTGTTTGTACTTTTGCTGTGCTGTTTTTGCTCATAAAAAATTTGAAATAAAGTATAATAATCAATATAAACAATAAGAACAAAACCATTAGGTAGTTTGTTATAGGGCTAGGCGATATAGAAAAATAGTATATCAGTAAAATAATTGTATTGATCGATATCAATAATTAAAAAATATTTTGCAAATTGTAGAAAATATATTTTACGTGCAGCCCTGGCCATTTTATTTTTGGTATTTTTATTTTTTTCTTTGCCTCTTCTCGCTGCGACATTTAGCTGTCTCATGCTCTGTTTTGGTTTGAGAAGAGAGGGCCTGGTGACGAAGTGCCCGAGTCTGTGGTTTTGATTGGTTAGGAGTAGGTAGTAAGTCTAGTACGCTGCTACCTGATAGGTTATAATGAAAAAAGGAATCTTTTTTTATCGAAGTTTTAGTGACCCATTTATTAAAAAAATTATCGCACCACATGTCTATCAATAGATATATTGAACTATTGAATTATCGTCCAGCCCTAGTTTGTTATCCTCTCTTAAAATAAAATAAAAAATCTATTTCAACAAAAGTATCAAGGTACTGCCATCAAAAACCAGGCATCATTAAAGTAGTAGTGCCAAGAAATATGTGCCGGTACCCAGCTCTACTGACGCCGTTATATTCTAAACATGTGTTTCACTTGACCTAGCTATCCTTTCTGTGAAAGCTCAAACCGCTCTGCTACTGTTCTTTACTGAGTGTTTTGGCTAAATATAATAAAAAAGAACAAAAGGTAAATGAACACAAGTTCAAGGATTTCATTTGCTGATAGGGATGTGAAATAGTTATTAATTTTTTACATAAGTAGTCTTGAAAAGGTCTTTAAAAGTTTTGAATTTAACTTGATGAAACCCGTAGGAACCCTGTCAATGTGGTTATTGTAATTCAAACCACACTCCGGTTTGCTCCAGCTGTTTTTAGGGCTCTTACCCTGTTACCAAGTTCATGTTTAAGTCATAAGGTGTGAGAGCCACTTGTTGCTTTACTATACATTTGATTTCAGTTTGTTTAGACTATGAAGTTCATGATCATTTATAGAAGTTTCCAGATGTATTCAGTCAACAGCTAGTGATTGAAACAGTTAATTCTGAGAGTTTTATTTATATTAGTCTGATCTTAGAAACAGTTTTTAGTCAAAGATCGAAAGTTTGTTGGTTTTCAGTCAACCTTTATTTATAAAGCTCTTTTCAGGCTCCAGACGGCACACAAGTCTTTACAGAGACCAAGAATACGATCACAAGTTAAAGTGGCGTTAAGTATTTTCCCTGACAATAGGGGGCAGTACATACCTAAATCATTGCAGGCAAGCAGTAGTGGTGTTCAAGTAAGACCTTACCAATGGATGGCCATTTGGGTCAATAATCCCTAGGAGAGCAATTATCGAATGAGTACTTCATCACATCGTTCAACCTCCAGCAAAATCACAAGCACGTCAGATTTCCTGTCATCACCGTCAACGAGTGAAGAGGTAAAGGTTTAAAACAACGTTTATGCACGGCGGAAGTTTTGTAACTGCTTGTTACAAATCAGTAAATGTGTTTTCTCCTCATGGCCTCACATGGAAGGAAACATTGCGTCTAATATTTAGTTTAATTTAACAACTTAGATTTTAGAAGGATAAAAAAAGCTTCAGATGGGACGTCTCGTTTTTGGGCAGGTCTTCCTACCTAACAAATTAAGAACAAGATAGCAGTAAATAGGCAATACACGACAAGCAAAACAAACAAAAAATAAATACATAAAAATCCTGCTGCGTTGCATCATAGATAAATGTAAGCTTACATATCTTTAAGAGTTTACGTATACATCATATGCAAATATGTATACACACGTGTGAAACAAGCACATACAATATTTGTTTGTTGAAGCAAAGCAATAACAGGTTGGCATCACATGTTCGTAGAGTATCTAAACAAGCGATATGATATCGTTCACCCTAAATTAACACAAAAGGCGCATCTCCCTGCTTCTTTGTTAAACTGGGGAATAACAAAGGAAAGCTGGTCAGTTAAGCGAGTATGATACCAGGGATTGATGGGAACAAACAGTATTTTCAAATTAGATGGGAAATCAAAATACATTTAAAAATTAATAAAAACCAAAGAAATTGTATCCTAGCTTTTAAAGATAGCCATGAAAGGCGTTCATATGTATCACAGTGGTGAGTTCTGAAAGGCCAACGCAGGACAAAATGACATAAGCTAATGTAAACAACATTCAAGAGAATTAGACCTTCGACCAAGGAGTTCTGATCAATTATATCAGCATGAATCTAAAATTGGAAGAAGATGCAGTCGAACATAAAGGTCGGAACAGTTGGTAGATTGATTGTTTTTAAGCAACGAGTTATCTTATGAGAGACCGAGTAAATATGAGTTCTGAAGGACAGATCTGGTTTCTTCCAAACCCCTAAATATTTGATTTTATCAGATGAATGTAATTATAAATAATCCTGAAAATGCAGATGGAGATCTCCATTTACCGCAGAACTGGAGGTATTTCTCTGGAAAAGCATAGAGTATGTTTTAAATGTGTTGAGAAGTTTATTTTGAGCTAACCGGTGCTAAACTTTGGTGAAATTAAACCGAAGGGTCTCCTGGACTATCTTATCATTAGGCTTTGAGCAATGTAAGATTGTATCATCAGCAAATGAACCAAATAAGGAGTCCAACACAGCGGCAGATCATTAATAAAAAATAGAAAATAATAAAGGCCCCAATAAAGAGCCTTGTGGAATACCTCAAACGGCCTCCGTATGTTAGAATCATGATTTTTAAAGCAATCATACTGTGAGCGATGATGAAAAAGTAAGTTAAACCAGAGTAAAGATCATCTTGAAAGAATACAATTTGTCTTAAGAGCAGTGATCAACCAAATCAAAGCCTTTGCTTAGGTCAAGATCATTAAGCTATGTTAAAACTTGAATCAATGTAATGCGGCATTTCCCCGAGACAAGACCTGCGCCAATTTATTTTAGACCCTTTTTTTTTGTCTTATGTTACAAAGCTGCCAATGTTTTTTGATAACTGAGCATCATTTAATTCATTTTCAACAACATTTCTATGGATATTTCCATGAGATGAATGGTAAAAATGACACATGTTAACTTTACAGCTAATTATACGAGGTAACTAAAATCATTTCTTTTTGTAGATAAATATTAAAAAGACACCTCCGACACAGTTCTGTTTGTTTCAGTAGTTCTGACCTTGTATTGGGTTTTGGTTATCTGCTGCTACGCTGGGTCTTCGGGTGTTCAACAACATGGCAGCACGTGTACGCAGACACAGCTTCACCTGGTGCTGGTAATGAAAACGTGTTGAAATTTTTACTGATCACAGCGGCTTGCTGTTGGTGTTTAACGTCAGCTCTTTTCGTCGTAGTTTTCTATAGAATTCAGAACAGACACGGCATCACTTCAGAAATGACTGAAACTTAACAGCAACTTAACGCAAATCTGTAGGAAGTTAGATTTTTTTTATTATGTAAAAACGATTTTCACCTGCAAGATGGTTCTCTAATAACCTCCAGTACGAGTCAGTGAGTGGGTTTTGGGGGTCCCTCCCGTTCCTAACCATGTTTATTAGCAGTCGGCAGTACCTGGAGGAGGCGGCAGCATCAAGGTGAGTCTGTGGAGTGATGAGAGGCCTGAAAAACCGTAGACTGACATCCAAGCCAAACCTCTCTCACTTGATTATTGCAGGGTTCCAGCTTCCTTCCAGTGGAAAGCCTTTACAAGTAAACAATAACAAACAAGCTTCTACTTCTTTCTTGTCACCATTGCTAGACAAATGTATATGGATCAGCAAGGAGACGAAAAATGCGTCCTTTTGAAGGTTTTCAACGCAAGGCTATTGTAATTTTTCCCACGGACGAGGATTTTAAAGAGCGAACATTAAAGCAAACCAATGAGCAGGGGAAGGATGTGCCCGATCATGCTGTATTAGAAATGAAAGGTAGGAACGCTGTGGAAACAACTTAAAATAAAAAAGATCTACTTTTTTACTTTTTCTATGTGTTGTCTCTAAGATCAAACTTGGAAGATGTTCCCATCCCCCTCCCCCATCATAGCATTTGGTCCGATCTCAGACCTGGACATTTTTGTTATACAGTTTACATAAAGTTGATTGTTATTGCCCTCTATCTTCCTCTTTCCGTTCACACGCTGCAAACTGAGACGACTAAAGCCGTCCAACATTTAGGATAACCAGCAAACGAGACGTGGCGCTCGGATTAACGTTAAACCGGGACCCATCAGCTGTCCTAGTTTGCAGTGTTGTTTTCACAACAGCTTTTTAGTTGTTCTTTTCCTCCCCCACCCATCTCTTCTGAAGCCCCCCCACTCCACCCTCCAGTTTTGCTGGAACAAATGTTTCCTCCATGTCCTCCTGGAGGTGACGTTTGTTCCTTTACCTTGCCTTTATCTGCTCTAAGTTTCTCTGATTTGCCCCGCCTTTGTCTCGTAGTAATTATTTTTCTTTTTGTCTTCCGGTGGTGTGGCTGCTGTGGTCTTCACTACACCCCCCTCCTTCCCCTCTCTTTCTTCCCGTTCTTCCCTGTCTCCATCCGTCTGCTCGGGTGGGACCTCTCATCTACTCGTGCTCGACTCTGCCTCCCTATAAGCCAACTTCACCCTCCCCAAGCCGTGCGAGTACTTGGAAGAAGTGACCTTCATCGAGGTTCAGCAAGACGAGGCTGAAAAGCTGCTGAAGCAGTACAATGAGGAGGGCCGTAAGGCCGGCCCACCGCCAGAGAAGCGCTTTGACAACAGGCAGAGCAGCTTCCGCGGTCGCGGCAGCGGGAACTTCCAGCGCTATGACAACCGTGATAGTTACCGCGGAGGCTTCCAGAACCGCAGCGGGGATGGAGGCAGTGGGTACAGAGGAGGTGAGAAATAGATTTCATCATCAGGCCTTAATGATGCTTCAACGAAAATGTTTTGTGGACTAGATGAGCTGAGAAGTGGATTGATTCTAACTTCAAGAAAGAGGAGGGGCTCCAGTAAAAACACGCCTAGCAAGTCACATTTTGAAAACACACAACTCAAAGGTCCAACCCCCTTTATTCAGGCCCCGCCCTTAATCCACACATCCAGATTACAGGAGTGTGCCAGACATAACAACCATAACAACATTACATAAGCGTACCTTTTGGAGCAACTATGTACTATGTTCCTGATATTGTTGGGGTGTGCCATCTTAGATACTTCACCATTCCGTTAGAGTTCGATTAAGGGTCCTACAGTTCGATTGGTAAATGATTACCACCATTTCTGATATCTGATACATTTTTTTTCACCGTTTAACTTTTGTTTTACATATCTTTTTCATACTTTTCAAATTCATCGGCACACAATAATTCAGGTCACCACCATCATGTCCAGGTAAAACTGAACACATACCCAACATACTTTTGTTTGAAATCCACAGAAAAAAATGTGAATAAAAGAGTTACAGTAGTCTAAGCGTGAGGAGATGAAGGTGTGGAGAACTGTCTCAAGTTCAGAGCGGGACAGAATGGGACTCAGCTTAGCAACGTTCCTGAGATGGAAGAAGGAAGAGCGAACAAGAGAACTGACATGAGAATCCAGGGTGAGAGCTGGGTCAAAGGTCACGCCAAGATTCCTGACAGGTTTGGTGTGAGAAGCAAGCTGACCAAGAGAGTCTCTGACTTTGGGAACCAGCTTGTCTGGGGCACAGATGAGGATCTCAGTCTTATCTTCATTCAGCTGAAGAAAGCTCCCACCATCCAGGTTTTGATAGAGTCTAAGCAGGTGTGTAACAGCTGCAGCTTAGACATCTCATGGGGCTTAAAGGAGATGTACAGTTGGATGTTATCTGCATAAAGATGGTAGGAGATTCCTTTGAAGGAGCTCAGGATGTGCTGAAGAGGAAGCAGATAGAGGAAGAAGAGCAGAGGTCCCAGTACAGAACCTTGTGGGACACCATGGGTAAGGGAGGTGGTGGAGGACCTAAACTTGGAGACGGCCACAGAAAAGGGACACTCCATCCTTTGATGAAAAAAAGGCTGACCACTTATAAATGACCAAAGGCTTCCTGGTGCCGCCTCAGCTTTGCAGCAAACTTAACGCCGTAGTTGTTTGAAAAAGTCTGGAGTTGTTTTGTTTTGTTAATCCTTCCTTGATTGGCTGGTGAGGAGGAACAACAACTGGCCTCTTCTCTTTATCTAACCCAGGATGGAAATGTGTAAGGTGCTATCGTATGTTGGTAGTGTTGCTGCTTTATTTTAGTTTTGCACAACTTTCCTTTAATCCTGTAGAGTAAATCTCACACTCAGTGGCTGAGAAGCAAACTTCTGCCATTGCTACACCCCCCCCCCACACACACACACACACACACACACACACACCGGTCCGTTCCTAAAGTGTCCGGGTTACAAGAGCAACTTTTACATTCCTGCCTAATTGTTTTTGAATGTTTTGAACGGGACACGTGTCACATCGCGGTTAAACGGTGAAGTGGCACACCCCTATAATCTAGCTAGCTCCGCTCTGACTAACGTCCTGTTAGCTCCTAGCTGAGAACGTGGAGCACTCGTACAGAAAGTTTCAGCTCTGAATCTTTATCCATCTTTGTGGGGAGCCAAACGGTGTGGTTGTGGATTCTGTCCTGCACGATGACATCTGATAACGTGGCGCCGGAGTGTCCAGACTACAGAGTGTGGCATTTAAAGTGTTAATAATGAAAACTCAGAGCAGTGACAGAAAAACCTCAGATGGTCTTTTGTTGTTTCTCCATCTTACACATATGTTAGATTCCCATAGTTGTCACACACACACACACACACACACGAGCTGAGCTGGTTAGATGTCTGACTTGTGTTGTACAGGCTACAACCGTGGCAGCTACAACCAGAACCGGTGGGGCAACAACTACCATGACGGAGGCTCCGATTCCCGTGGCGGGTATAACCGCAGCCAGCCGTCAGGCGGGAACTACAGTCGTCCCTCTTCTTACAACAAAGGAGGATACAACCAGGTAGAAATTGTGACCCTAATGTCAACCACCTGTACTGTTCCTCAGAGGATGACGGTGTTTAAAATGATTGGTTTATCAGCAGGGCTACAGCCAGAGTTACAACCAGGGCTACAACCAGGGCGGCTACAACCAGAACTACTACGGCAACTACAGTCAGTACCCAGGATACAGCCAGAGCTACAGCCAGCCCGCTGCAACCGCACAGACGTACAGCCAGCCGCCAGCGGCGCAGCCAGCAGCGCAGCCGCAGCAGAGCTACAACCAGCAATACCAGCAGGTAGTTCAGGAACGTCTCCCAGCTTCTGCTGGTTTTACAGACGGGGAGAACGTTCACATCCTGTAAATGTTCATTCCTCTGGTTCTGGTAGGGCTGGGCGATATGGACCAAAACATCGCGATATCTTTTAGCTGAATTCTGATATACGACATATCTCGATATTTTTCCTCCTGTAAAATATTTACAAGTTAACTCGCTTCATGCTGTCTGGAGAAATTATAAACAAATCAGTAGATTAAATGCTTGAAAATGTATTGGTTCTTGTCAAACTTTAACCTTAGTGCCAATTCTCTACCGGTCTGAGCTTTAGAAACATTGGTACAGCTGTCTGTTAACACACACACACACACACACACACACACACACACACACACACACACACACACACACACACACACTTGACAGCTAGAGGTGTATCAAAAGTCCCACAGGAACTTTTTATTTATATATTTATAATATAAAACTAAATTTCATCTAGAGGTGGCCGTATCGTTTATTTCTTGTCCAGAGAAAAAAAATATGTTAAACCAACTGTATGATGATGTCATTGCATCTACTGAAGGTCACATGGGTGGGCACCATGGAGGGCAAACATGGCTGGAGTCTAACAAACTTCATTTTTTCAACAGAATGGCTCGTAACGAAGTATTTACTAGCATAGCAAACCAGAACGGAAAAAAACGGAACATTTCTCACCCGTTAGGCTCGCCTTGAAAATAAAACGTTTACCCTATAGTTAACTAATCAAACCCTTATAATATGTTTGAGGTCATTTGGCCACGCTGGTTATCCGTAGATGTTTCCTGATGATCCTCTCTTTTCACGTGTCTGAGCAGAACCTCCCTGAACCGTCTACAGGTGGTTCAGAGCGCCTGTGCTCGGCTTCTGACCAAGTCCTCCAAACACACCCACATCACCCCGCTTCTCCTCCAGCTTCACTGGCTGCCAGTCAACTTCAGGGTTCATTTCAAGATCCTGGTTCTGGTCTATAGGGCCTTACATGGACAAGCACCATCTTACATTGGTGATCTTCTTAGTCCCTACACCCCCAGCAGGTCCCTGAGGTCCAGAGACCAAAGCCTACTGGTTGTGCAGCACCAGGCTAAAGGTCAAAGGTGACAGATCATCTGCTGCTGTGGCCCCCAGACTCTGGACCTCTCTCCCCATGAGCCTGAGATCAGTGGACTCAGTGGTCTCCTTTAAAAAGCAGCTGAAGACTCACTTGTTCAAGCTGGCTTTTGTATGACCTTCTTCACCTCTCTCTCTTTATTCTGCTCTCCCCACCTATTCCACCTTCCTCAGGATCCACTGGTTTCCCTCTTTCCTGTTCACTCTCTAACATTTTTAATCACAACTGTCTATTTTTGCTCATTTTAAATATATTTTTAAACATTTTCTAAATGCTTTTTATATTTTTACATTTTTTGTTTTTGTGAAGCGCCTCGTGATTTTTATCTTGAGAGGCGCTATAGAAATGATATTTTCTTCTTCTTCATCATCTTCTGATTACACGGGGAGGGAGGGGTTTGGCTCGTCTCTCCGGCTCCGCACAAGCAGGATGGATAAACGGAACTTCGTTGGCGTTGAACGTCCACAAATAATCAAAAACCAGAATGCCAAATGCAAAGTTTAGAGCAGCACATTTACCCAGAGGCACTTAGATTAGGCAAACTTGTGAGAATACATGTAATAACCGCTTAGAGACGGAGCAACATGTCGCTAGCATAGCGGCTAATCACTAGCATAGCAGTTTGACATAAAGTCATCTTATATCTTGTTTTATAATTATACAGATATTTTAAAAATATCGATAAATCACCCAGCCCAAGGTTCTGGTTTCTACTAACTTTACTTCAGTCAAGTGCATCGAGCACTGTGAAGGCTTGGTAACTCACCGTGGCAACCGCAGTAAAGAGAGTACTCGTGAGTGAGGCCTTTAACCCCAAAATAACTCATATTTGATTTTTTTTTTCTCTTCCAGTATGCTCAGCAGTGGCAGCAGTACTACCAGAACCAGAACCAGTGGAACCAGTATTACAGCCAGTACGGCGGCTACCCTGGCCAGGGCAGCCAGGGCTCGTCTTCAGGTTCCCAGTAGCTTCGTCCTGTGTCCGCTGGCGTCCCCTTTGACCTCTGCAGTCCTTTCTTTTTTTGTACAGTCCCAAATCAAGCATCCTGTCTGCTTTAACGCATCCTGTCCAATCACACGCGTTCTTTTTACTGAACCCAGTCTTATTTAAGCATCACGTGTGAGGTGGTAGCTTCTAGGTCTCAGAACATCTAATGAATGTTTATGATTATGCATCAGATGTGGCCGTCTGAGCTCCACGTCTCGCAGCTTAAAGGTTTAATTGTATATTTTTAGGATGCAAAGTGAAAACGACAGAAGTGGAGTATATTCGCTTAACAAGGTGCATGCTTTTTACCCCATGACACGCCTCCCTCCCGTCTTGCTCTTTGCTTTTCATTTACCGAGTGAGCGTTTTATTTACCCAGCGTTTTTATAGGTGTCGGTTCTGTATTTAATCCAGTCCAGATTAGGAATAATCTGCTCTTGTTGACTAGTTGTATTGACAGTTTTGCCCCCATCCCTTTGTGATTACTGTTCATGGAGTAGTTTGAATCCATTTTGTCAAGGCCGTTTTTTCTACCTAAACTTGATTGAATTGATTTTGAGAAGATCGGTAAGCCATCTTGTCTTTATACAATAAACACAGATTAAACCCCTGAACGTGTCTCTGTGTCCTGACAAAGGGGAAATCAAACACCACTCGTGGTCCATCGCTGTTGGTGCGTTTTTCAATAAAACTGAAACAATCAACAAAAGAAGGGAGATAACAATCATTGACAAATCTTTTCGTCCTGAACCTGGAGAAGACATTTAAAAGTCCCAAGTCTCGTCAGTCGGGGCAGAAAATGAATGTTGTGTCTGGGTGGAGATGCTTCGACGGTCATGGTTGTGAAATCCAGTAGGTCCAGCTTCTGCAAGGACTTGTTTTTCCTTCCCAGGCTCGTGTAGCTGCCAGGATTAACCCAACCCAGGATTTTTCTGCTTAGTGTTGATTTCCTACCCTGTTCTGTTCCCATCAAATGTCTTTAGATGTGAGTAAAATCACTGAGCTCATAAAGAATCTTAGCACCAGAAATACAAGGCACATCTTCTGAAATACAAAATCAGACAGAAAACATGGGACTCATAAATTACTGAAGAAAAATCTGCTAAACGAGAGGAGGAGTCTGTTCAGAGCTTCGTCGGTTAGTTTCTGAGGAGGAGCGCTCAGTCTGGCTCTCGGCTTTTGTCTTTGTGCAGATGTAGCTCATCCATCTTGTCCTGCAGCAAGGAGACGGGCGCCGAGCATCCTCGGTTCCGGTGTGGCGGCGTGTTGACCTGCAGCACAGAGCAGGAATCAGCTGTGCTGGGCCTTGTTTTAGTTGCAGTTCATTATTAACTCAACAGTTTCCACTAAAAACCATTTATTTCCGTTTTATTTCCGGCGTTAGACTTAACATGACAGGCAGATGTCACTTCTCCATCGCTTTTGGCTTCACCGAGTGGTGAGGGAGGTATTTTATCTTTTGTCAGAACAATAAATAACAGAAATGTGATTTAAACTAGCTGTGGTGTGAACAGGGCCCGTACTCGTGAGTGAAACATGTTGGTGTTGGCAATGCAGGGAGATTTCTGCTGTCCTCTGGGTGGCGCTAAACACCTCAAAACTCCAAATGTTCACATTTTAATCCCAAATCCTGTTTTGTTCTTTTTGGCTGTGGGTGATTCATGTTTTTGCTTCAAGTACATTTAGCATAAGTCGTAAACCACAGGGTTGGTTTTAATCCAACCTTTCAGACTGCTGCCATTTTGGATTCAGTTTGTCAATATCAAATATTAATATTTGATACAATATCAACATAGCCAAAACAAAATGGTTAAATCTGTCAAATCTACAGATAAACTAAAAAAAAAACTAAATTTTTTCTCACCCTCCTGTTTGGAGAAGCATGAAGAACAGAGTTCAGGTGGTTTCCTCTTTTGTCCTTCTCTGGGGTCCAAACTCCAGGATCTGTCTGAGTGGAGTTGTCTGACAGCATCAAGTCACTCGTGTTGTTTTTCCAAGTCGATGTGCTCCTGTTGTGTTCTGTCTCGTTACCCTGAGGGAAAACAAACGCCTCCTCCTCTGAACCTGATGGAGAACATCACATCAGTTATACAGCCTTGTGTGTGAACCAGCGGGACTAGAAGGGAAAGGTACCCACTCCAGCTGTTGCCCTTTGTTCTGGAGTCTGGAGCTGGAGTACAGGGGCACGAGCCGGTTGTGTTTTTGTGTTTCTTCTGGCATTCCAGTCTCACCAGATCTCGACAGTGTCGGTGACAGTTGATCCCGCAGTCTGGGTGACGGGATGATAAGTTATCAGAAGCTCTTTTACAGTGTTTCATGTTAAAGTCCTAACCTGCTGAATCAGCATGTCAAGCTCAAGCTTGCTCAACCGACAGTCAAAACAGTTTAATCAAGTTGAGATTTATATGGTTTCACTGTCTTTGATTTAGGATAACCGAGACTGTGGTTCCCGTCTCTGACAGTGTTCACCAAAGTTATTCCCAGAAAAGTTCTATTTGCCTTCTCCCTGCTGCCATTCTGTCTTATAAGTGATATAATGACAAAGGTTATAACCCACTGTCAAAAAGGCTAAAAGGGAAAGACATAGAGGGAAAACATAAAGGCTAAAGTGGAAGAATAAAATCAGAGTGGGGAAAACTGAAGGCTTAGGAAAAAGTGGTGAAATGCTAGAGGAAAACTAAGGACTACAGGACCTATGAGAAGAAAAGGCTTTTGAGGAAAATCTAGAGTGTAAACCTAAACACGGCCGAGTGGGGTAAGGCTACAGAGCTAGAGCTAGTGAAAAAATAAAACCTAAACACGATAGCTAAAAGCTAAGGGAAAAGCTGGTCTAAAGGAAAAGGCTACAGTGAAAAATCAAAGGCTAAAATGAAAATGCTAAACAGGAAAGCTAAAAGCAAAACAGGATAGCTAAAAGCTAAAATGAAAAAGGCAAACAGGATAGCTAAAAGCTAAACAGGATAGCTAAAAGCTAAAGTGAAAAAGCTAAACGGGATAGCTAAAAGCTAAGGGAAAAGCTAAAGGCTAGAGTGAAAAATCAAAGGCTAAGATGAAAAAGCTAAACAGGATAGCTAAAAGCTAAAGTCTAAAGGAAAAAACTAAAATGAAAAATCAAAGGCTAAATGGGAATTGATAAAGTTGAAGGCTATTTAAGCCATCCCTTTAACCATTCAACTTTAGCCTCATGTCCTCTTTTTTGGAAATGGAAATATGGTCACCCTATGTAGACAAATGCAATTGAACCACTTTATTCATATTTTCTAAAATATATTTATAGATATATACTATGTTAGAATATTGTTAATAATAATGATAATACATCTTTTATAGCACTTTTTTGGACACTCAAAGACGCTTTCATGCACTCACATTCACACACTGCTAGTGATGGTAAGCTACTTTGTAGCCACAGCCGACCTGGGGTGGTCTGACAGAGGCGAGGCTGCCATTTGGCCCCTCTGACCACCACCAACACAAAGAAGCATGAAACAACAGTGATTTCTACTTCTACTATGGTGTAGTTGTGTGCATGCCATGCCGCCCCGACAGCCTGGGAGAATATTGGCTCACAGCAGAGACAAGCCACAGGAACCATAAACGTTGCAATTTACGACTTGCAGGATGCACATGCGTCAAGCACAAACCAGGCTTTATACAGTTTTATGATTTGGATTAGGAACACTAGGAGGAGAACTCTACCTGCTTTAGGACATTGGCTGTTTACTTTGCTGGTAGTTTATGCAGGGCTGTGGTTACCTTACTGAAACACAAGATATATATATATTTTTTGGTTGGCATCATGTCGAAGCCTGGAAGTAAATGAAAGAAAGTAATGTCTTTGGAGATGAAGATCTAAAACCAGAGTGAACATCAGCTTGGCCTACACTGAGGGAACTGAAGGAGGCTACCAAGTCACGGATTGATGATGACCTGTCTTTGTTGCTACTGGACTGGTAAGTAGTAATATTTTTTCCAGCAGTCTATTTTATTTTTTTTTTTTACTTTGTGGCTTATTTTAGCATCAGTTGGCCTTAGCTTGTTGTTAGCGCTAGCTACAGCAAGCTGCAGCAGGTTTCAGGAGTGAGAAGTGAGAAACTTAGTCTTACTTAACCTGGTCCTGGGAGCTTCTCAGCTCTGCTCCAGCAGGTCTTTTTGTTTATTTATGAGAAAGTTGTTAAGAAAGATGTAATGTTTATCTTTTCTGAAACCCAGTTCACACGGCAGGATTAAAAAAATATCAAGACGTTTTTTCAAAAAAACCTTTTAGACGTGACGATTAAAAAAATCATGGATATAAGTGTTGGTCCTATGGTGGTGGTGGGGGGAGGGTCTAGCAACACGGTAAAAACTACACATTACACTCAAACAGATTTCACACAACAGGTCAGATGGGAACCTTGAGATCAAGTGACCTTGGAGTAAACAAATGAAAATGACCCGCACTTGTTTAGCGCCTTATACAGTCAGAGGACTCCAAAGCGCTTTACACTACAGTGTATCATTCATTCATTCATTCACACACACTGGTGGTGATGAGCTACAATGTAGCCACAGCTGGGCTGGGACGCACTGACGGAGGCAAGGTCTGCAGAACACAGTCGCCACTGGTCCCTCCGTCCACCACCAGCAGCAGGCAAGATGGGTTAAGTGTCTTGCCCAAGGACATTGTCTGTCCGGAGCCGGGATTGAACCTGCAATCTTCTGGTTATTGGACAACCTGCGCATCCTCCTGAGCTACTGCTGCCCAAAATGGAAACAAACATGGCGGAAGAAGAGTGTGCAGTGTGCTTCAATCACCTCACTTTCTGATTGATTACACGCCATTTTAAAATGGCAGCACGCTAGATTGTCTTCTAAATCGGGCAAAATAATCCAACGTGTTTAATATTCATGATTAATGATCGTAGTGGTCCTGACATGCTGAGCAGACCAGAGCGCTTCTAACACGCCACACACAGCAGGAATATCTGATAAGATTGTCTTTAGAGCAGTTACAGTAATCTGGTTGGTCCTTGGGATTATCAGATGATACGGGTACATTTCTGCATAATTATCTGGCTGTGTGACCCGGGCCTTGGTATTTCTAAATGCGAATGTCCGCTGTAAAGAGGACTTGGTGTTTTGTAAAAACACACAGGAAGTTGTGATAAATGGTGATCTTACCTTTACAGTGGTAGCCCTGTTTGATGACGCCCCACAGCTAAGAGAGGACAGAGGTGAGGTGTTACACTTTGGTTCGTTGTTAGAGTTAATCCTAAAACCCAAACAAGAATTTACTCACGAATCCTCCACACGTGTCGCAGAACGTGGGCCGCTTGTACGTGGTTTCGTGGAAGTTATGCGCGTCGTTAAAGTTGTAACCCAGCTTGGCGCACACGGACATCCCTCTCATGAAGTAGGAGGTGATTTCCTCACGGCTGATCTGTCCCTCCCTGGAATGACAAACTACAAATTACCAACTGGATCCAGGCTGAGGGGGTTAAAGGTCTCTGCTTGAACCCATCCCCACCTGTCAGTCTCCTGGGTGCGGAAGGAGAAGGGGAAGTTGGCTGCTATTTTCTCAAAGTCCTCCAGTGAAATGTATCCGTCCTGGTTCTGGTCGTAGTTCTTCATCACGGACTGCAGAGGGCGGCAGATGAGAGATTTCAGGCCTGAAGCAGCTCCTGGGTGGTTCTGCTTTCAGCTGCTTAAGGATGAACGAGGAAGTGAAAGCCGGGAGGCACGTACTCACATCAACCATCTGCTTGACGTGGTTGGATATTGTGTCGGAGTCAAGCCTGGGGGTGACCCCTGACCCCCACTCCGCCACAACCGGCGGCTTCACTGGAGTTAAAGTCTGTGGACCGACACATGCAGTGAGGAGACACAAGAAGAAAGAGCACACCCACCGCATAACACACTTCCCTAACGTAAAGCACTTTGATGTGGCTCGCTTTGATGCAGCTCAGATCTGAACCTGTGCCACACCCACAGAGCGCTCAGAAACGTCCACCGTTGTGTGAACATCAGTTCGATCAAGTCTGTACCTGAATCTTGGGGTTTTTGGGTTCCTTGGTGTAGGATAACTCATAGATCTCATCCTCGGTGTAGTACAAGTCTAGAGAGAGCTGAAACACAAAATTGTGAGAAATCAAGATGTTCTCCATGGAGTTTTATCCAGAGTCATCCTGCGGTACCGTGAGCAGATGCAGGAGGTCTTTGTTGGCCTCGAAGGGCGGTGTGCAGCTATGAATGGCCAGCAGGTCATTGATGTTGCTGTAGAGGTGCTGCAGCTTGCTCAGGTTGATCTTCTCCTCGTCGATGTAGTCCGGCAGGGCCTCGTTGAGCGAGATCAGGTCCTTCAGGTGGACCCCCAGGATGGGCACCTTGAAGCCCTTACACTCGCTGTAGACGCGTCTGTAGTTGCTGTAGTTGCTGCGTGAGGAGAGCAGCTCTGTGAACTCGCTCAGGGCCTGATGGGGGAGACATCCGTTGAGTTTTTCCATTTTGAGTGGTTTGAGTTTAACACCTAGTCTAAACACAACTATCATTCACACGCGCCGCTGCGCAGCGTGGCCGCCTGTCTCACCGACACGCGAAATAAAGCCTTTTGTCAGTTGGAAGTTTCCAGGACTGAAGAGCTAACGGCTAGTTTTAGTGGAGCTAATGATCTTATTTAAAAACCTCGGTGGGATGAAGTTGTGTTTTTTCATGGATGCCTGTCTCAGTATTCCTTCTGGTTCCTGTCCTAAGTTTAGTTGCATTATGGGAAAACTTTCTTCTAAAAGCTTTTTCACATGTTGGAGTTGAAGGGATTTTGTGTTTGCGTCTGCACAGAAGTTATAAATACTTACCTGTTGTACTTTCCTGAAGAAAACCCAGGTGTTTAGTGGCCAAATGTTGTTTTAAAGGATGTCAAATAAATGCAAAAATTCATAAATATTTGTGATTTATCGTAATAATAATATTCCTGGGAATGCAGATCATTTTAAAAGGCAGCCTTTACAAAAGCATCTTTTGTATCCTAAAAAGGATACATGGCTGGTTTAAACCAGTTCCCGAGCGCAGCCGCTGCTGCAGCTCACCGCTCCCTGCGGGGATGGGTCGGATGTGGCGACGTAACTTCACCAGTGTGTGATGAGGACTTTAAATACTGCTGTTCTGTTTTAAACCGCCTTCAAATTCCAATTCACATCAACAAGATGAGAAGAAAACCCCACTTCTTTTTCTAAGTGAGAAAAGAGACGAATCACTAAAACTGACATTTAAAGCAACAACAGATAATACTTTATACCTTTAAGCTAGACTTTGAAGTGATTTTTGGGTTAGAAACCGACACCGCTCTGCAGCCCTCTGCTGGCCCGACACCACACTTGATAGTTTTGTGGAGCGGGTAGGTGTCTGATTAGGAGGCACTCTTTGGCCCAATCCCAATACTCGCACTTCCACCCTTGCACCCTTTAATTGTGCAATCCCGACCAGGGGTGCGAGTGCATGGCAGGGTGTCCCGATTGTCAAGTGCGGAAGTTGATCACGCCCCTTTTGTGCCCTCGATCTGCACTTTGCCCGAGGCTGTATCGATGCGGACTTGGGCGAAGGGTATTACCCACAATCTGTTGCTGTGGGAGAAAATGCTCAAGTTCCTCTTCTGAACACACCGGTATGTATTTTCTAATGAAAATTTTAGGACGATTAGCTGATGCGCTAAAACTTTTAGACAAAGCAGCAACGAATGCTAGATGTTAAAGTAAGAGAGTGTTGTCTTTGGAGGTGAGGCAAAGAGCTAAAACCAGAATGAACATCGGCGCGGCCTACGCTAGTTTGAGAGAGCAAAAGGAGGCTGCAAAATCACGGACTGATGGTGACCTGGCTTTGTTGCTGTTGTAAGTAATAATATTTTTTGCCCAACAGTGTGGGTCTTTTTACGTCCTGGTTGATTTTAGTATTAGTTAGCTCTTGTTAGCATTAGCTTGTTGTTAGCACTAGCTACAGCAGACTGCTGTTGTTTACGACAGCTGTAATTCCACTTCCAACCAGTAGGGCGGAGGAGTGGGAAACTGCTCTGTGTTACTTTAAATTGGTGACATGTATGAGAACATCTAAAGATAATGACATTCCTAAAAACAGAAACAATATTTTGACTTTATTTTTACACAACAATCTCTAAAAACGCAATTTTTGGGTCTAAGAGGTTAAAAGGAAACAAGCTGATGAGATAATATTCTGGATCAGTCACCAGAACCAGTGCATCTTTACAGTAAAAAGTTGTCAAACTCCTCTGCGTTCATCCCAAACACAGGAATACATGTTCCAAGATGACCTCCCGCTACAAGAGCTGACTCACGCTTTGATGTGACATCAGCATTTCTGCTTTAGGATTGCTGCAGAAATCCCCGACGCAAACCTAAAGATCATGTAGACATTTAGAAAATATTGTCACATGGCTGAAGCTGATTATAGATATTTGCAGTTAGTTTATCAGTCCCAAAACTCAATTTCTCCAAGCAGAGGCTGTTCAGATGACAAGTATTACAACTTTTACACCTAAATTCTTAAAAATGGCTGAGTAGTCCCTTTAATATTTTAAAACGTAACAGCTTAAAACAGCATTCTGGAGACAATGAACCATTTGAGCATGTTTAACATGTCCATGTGGTATTGTACATGTTAAAAACATGTGAGGGGAGGGCTGAACTGCTGTTATCATCTGTGTTTATTTTGTTAAACAGATAAAAATAAACTCTTTTTGAGGAAATACCGTAATACCAACTTTATGTCTGCAGCACAATTTAAGACACAGCGTGAGAGCTGACCAGAGTGCTGAACAGGCAGGATCAATTAAAACAAAATTAAAAACATTAAGAAGATAAAACACAACAATAAAAACTATAAAATCATAACAGGATAACATGAATCACTGTCGAAAAGTCAATTAATAAAAGTAGGTTTATAAACGAGATTGAAAAACAGGCAGAGAGGACGCCAGCCTGACTGTAATGGGCCGTGAGTTCCAGAGCATGGGGACAGCGTGTACCAACGCACGTTCACCTCGTGATTTGTAGGACATCCGGGGAATGCAAAGCAGTAGACGGTCAGCTGACCTCAACATACGAGTAGGTACATAGGGAGTCAGCAGGTCGGACCGATAAGGAGGAGCTAGGTCGTGTAGGGCTTTAAAAACAAACATCATGATCTTAAAACGCACACGAACTGTGACGGGGAGCCAGTGAAGACGTTCCAGGACTGGTGTAATACGGCTATGTCGACTTGTGTTTGTTTAAAACCAAGCAGCGGCATTTTGGACAACCTGCAACCGGTTCAGGGCAGAGACAAGAGTTCCAACCAATAGTGTGTTAGTGAAGTCCAAGCGAGAGGTGATGAAAGCGTGGATGACCGATTCCAAGTGCTTCCTCTTTAAGATCGGTCTGAAACGAGTTAGGCGGCATAACTGATAAAAACAAGACCTCACCACTGAGTTGATCTGAGGAGTCATTGAGAGTTTGGCATCCATTTTTACCCCGAGGCTTATTACACGCTGCTTTGGGTTTAAACCATCAAAAGTGGAATGAGAGACAGAAGGATTGCCATTCTTTCGTTCTTTTTTAAACACAGAAACAGTTTTGTTTACCTGTTTGTAGCTACAGTTTCGCCAACGACTTCTGGCTTCTTCAGGCTGACGCTGATGGTGGCGCGTCACTTCCTTCTCCGTTTATCTGCGGGCGGCAGAGGACGTTGTCGCCCTCTACTGCCCGCTCTCCCCTCTCCGACGATGCAGTCCCATGCGTGGTCCAGCGTGTAAACTCCGTCATCCCTGTTCATGGTCCCACATCCACGTCTCCTTATCTCGATTGCTTCCTTGATCCATCTTTTGTATTTTTGTTGTTCAGTGGTTATGATCCGTGTGTTGTCCCAGTCCATTATATGGTTTTCTCTTAAGCAATGATCTGTTACGGCTGACTTTTTTATTGTACACCACACCAACAAAGCCATACACAACAGTTAGAAACAGATTAGTACACCCAAAACACAAAATATCAGCTGGACAAAAATGTGGAGTCATCTACGAAATCCCATGCAAAATATGCAATAAAACATACATAGGAGAAACCGGACGCCAACTCAACACACGGACAATAGAACACAGAAAGGAGTGCGAGAAAGAGGCAAATCGTAAACACACACGAGCAGCAAAAGAAGAAGCAGAAAGTACAATAAAAAAGTCAGCCGTAACAGATCATTGCTTAAGAGAAAACCATATAATGGACTGGGACAGCACACGGATCATAACCACTGAACAACAAAAATACAAAAGATGGATCAAGGAAGCAATCGAGATAAGGAGACGTGGATGTGGGACCATGAACAGGGACGACGGAGTTTACACGCTGGACCACGCATGGGACTGCATCGTCGGAGAGGGGAGAGCGGGCAGTAGAGGGCGACAACGTCCTCTGCTGCCCGCAGATAAACGGAGAAGGAAGTGACGCGCCACCATCAGCGTCAGCCTGAAGAAGCCGGCAGCCGTCGGCGAAACTGTAGCGTCAATAACAGGTAAATAAAACTGTTTCTGTGTTTAAAAAAGAACGAAAGAATGGATTTAGAAAGACACAGCAAGAACACACCTAAGAAGGATTGCAGGTATCAAAGACAACGGACTTTAAATCATTCAGCCTGAGGAAACTGGCCGCTAGCCAGCCCTTTACGTCCGCCAGACGAGAGTCCACATTTCCATGTTTTAGTGCCACGTATATTTGACAGCCGTCAATACACACAACGTCAATCACATAACAGCAAATCCACTAAAGGATCCCCCAAACGTATTATCCTACTAAAACTATCAGAACCTGACAGCCGGACTGGAGCTTCTGCTCTTGCTCTAAGGAATTCCCAGCTTTCCTGGTTTTAGCCGACACGTCATCAGACTGGATTCTCACTTTAGCTGCAGGACGAGTCGATCTGCACATCCACAGACCTTTAATTCTATATTGAAACGATTTAAACCACAAGACACTTATTTGCAAAGCGAACTTTCCAGATGTTTCTCTTGGATGCCGACAGACAACATTTAGATGAGTTCGCTGGTCAGACCTGATTATTTTTAGAGTGAGATGCCACGCTCCCGTTTAGCTCCTGCCTCTTTAAGGATCCGCCGGCTCTGCTTGGAGCTGCTTTGTTGGTTTTAGGTGTGTCGTATTATGAAAGCGTTATGCAAATGAGCAACACAGTACTGTTGATAAGTTACAGCCTGAACAACAGACTGCTTTTAACCCTAACCCAGGAGAAACTCCCGATTGGTTTGCAGAAACGTCTAAAAGCACCAAATCAGCTGAAAGCTGATTTATTGATTTGACTGCGAGACCCTCTACATCAGCGTTTTACTTTTCCACATAAACATGGACAGAAGAGTAATTATTACATTTAGAGCCAGTTCTGGTTTGGATGTAAAAAATAAAACTTCTTGAAGTGTAGCTCTAACTATGACATCCTCAACAAGAAAGAGCGTAACACGATATTTAAAGAGCAAGTCACCCCCTACCAGAGTCTTACTCCACTCCCACTTCCTGTTTGAATAATGCAACAAATGCTGTTGCCTAGCAGGCCGAGAGGACGGAGCCGCTAACAAATACACACACACACAGGCTCACAACGACATTGTGACATCATATGGTACCAGCTAACGTTCTCAGGGTACCTCTTAGCCAATAGGGGTGACAGATTTAAATTCAAATGCAGTGCAGAGTTTTTACCTGACAACGCCACATCACTGACAGTTTCAGGCAGAAAATTAAAATTTTAACTAAAATGCACTAAAGTGCTAAACTACTGACTACACGTGTCTGCAGCACGATTAGACACGCATTTATGTAGTTTATCAGAAAAAAGTTGATTTGGGGGTAACTTGCTCTTTAATGTAATCATGCATGTTGTTTTATGAGACTTTAATAAAATTATTTTAACAGTGTTTCAAAATAAAACACCCTGCTAACCAGGTGTGTCAACAAATGACCCGTGGACTGATACTGGTTCTTGGCCTGATGTCCCAACAACATCACGAATAAATCTGACACGATTTTCCACCACAAAGCTTTTTTTGTTCTGTAGTTCAAGTCCTCGTTCCTCTGAGGTTCACATCGATCACGGTGAGAAATGACGGCGTTATCGTTGTTGTGAGGATGTAAAACAAGAACAATCTAATTTAATATTGCAGAATGTGTAACCTCTCAGAGTTAGGAACAAATCACACGTGAAGATGTAGCTGGGCGTCTGACACCGACTGAGTTTTGGCTCTTTTTGTTTTCGCTGAAGTTACCTGAGACGGGGAATCGGTTGCTTCTGCAGGTTTACGAGGTTGAGTTTTATAAACACTAACATTAAAAGAGACAAATTACTTTTCTTATAACTCATAATAGTTCCCGGTCTCACATGAAGCAGTCTCAGTGGGTTTTTCTTGACATTTTCAGTACCTTCCAGAATGAGCCTTTGAGGGATCTGTCAAGAAAACTCGCTGGAGCTAGCCACGCCCACCCCTCCCCCCGATTAGCTGCTATGATTTCAGGAGCTCTGATCAGTGACTGCTTACTTAAAGGACAAACGCTTCACACTGTCACCTGCAGGTTTCTGAAGCTCAGGGGGCGGTTCCCACCACCGCCATCTTGGTTGCGTTACACATGCCGTTACTTCCAGACCAAAAAAAAAATCGAGCTGAGAGTGAGGCTGTAAGCGTGGTGGCAGAGGATTGACACCCATCAAAGTCTGAGTCGATGTAGCTAAAAGCTAACTGAGCTAACCGAAGCTAACAGAGTTTCTAGGCTGTAACAGTTTTAATGTGAGGCTGAGACCTTCCCTGGAGCAAGCAGGGGTTCGCGCTGCTAATGCTGACAGTTCACCCGCTATACATCGTTGAAAAGGACACGCCTCTAATTATTCACAATTCCTACCTTTAATTGTATTTAAACAGGCGAGTAATGAAAGAAACACTCCCCTCAGAGTTGCCATGACTGTAAACCTGACCTGTTGAACCTAAAAGGTTTTTTTGAACCAGGCTGTAAACATTTCTGCTGTGAAGTTTGTGAACTTCCTGCTTCTGGCGGTCTCTTCGCCCTGCCGGTCAGGGTTTGTGGTCTGACCCTCGTGCCAGGTTCGGGGGCAGAGGGGATCGGGCCTTTTCGGTAATGGCCGCTACTCTGTGGAGCTCTACTCTGCTTGCTGTGAAACTGTCGCCATTACTGGAGGTTTTTAAAGGTCGCCTGCAGACGCACTTTTATCATTTGTCTTTTTTGTAATTTTAATTCTGTTTTAACCATTTTAAACCTTTTTTATTGTCCTGTTATTTGTCTGTTCTTTTGTTTTTATGGGTTGTTGTGTCCAGCGCCTTGGACTCCCACAAACGCAGTGGAAGGTGCTGCATCAATAAAATTTAATTGATTGATTTCTGGATCCATTCCCTAGTGGATGAGGGGGGAACTGCAGTTTAGTCACTTTTAGCAGGTGGAGTTTTCCTCTTGGCTCTGATGCCCAGGAGGGGCTCAAAGTAGAGCTGCTGCACCTCCTGTGCTGACAGTTAAGAGGGATCTAATTTTCCCGTTTGTGACATCATTTTTTGAAAATCATTCCTCAAACCAAGCACTGACAGAAAACCGATGGACTGGTTGATTTCGGGTTTGGAGTGTGTGTGATGGCAGCAGAGACCCATGTGGCAGCACAAAAGGATGCATAAGGGGCGTTTTGTATCATCGGTCCCCTTTAAATAAAAAAATAATTATTGCATTATAGTGGGAGGAGATAAATATACATCTGCACTGTGACTTTCATAAATGATGCTGAAATATAGATGAAGGGATTTGGTGCTGACGCATGACTGAAGTACCTTAGTGATGTCCGGAGGCAGCAGGTTGGACGTGTCTTTGAGACGAGAGATTGAGCTGTGACAGAGGCCTCCTGTTACCGCCATTAGAGTGTTAAAGTTCTGCAGAACCCTCAGTTTCTACAAAGTAAAATGGAAAGTCAGAGACTTGTAGAGGACGTCGTCTCTGCGGTGGTTCCAGGTGCACTTTGGTCCATACCTGAGCCACGTGGATGAACTTGGTGAAGACCTGGGCTCTTTGCTGGGCCGTGTGTCTGCTGAGGATCATCAGCTGGACCCACTGGGACACGCCGTTGCACATCATGACCGAACGCTCCAGGGCGGGGTTGTCCCTCACTGAACCTCGCACCACATAGCTGCGATAGTCCAGGAACTGATGAGACACAAC